TTGGATTCTATAAAAGACTTTCAGGGTTTCTGTGCCCTTTGGACCGCCAAGCCCACAGAGAACAGAGCCCTTTCTTTTCCCCTTTTTTAAATTTTATTTTATCCATTACCTTTATTTCTTGTAACCGAACCATCTTCAATCCTACGAAAAAAAACTTGACGGGAAAAAAAATTAAAAATACAACTCAAGTTTTACACGCTAAGAAGGAAAAACCATCTAATACAGGCAGTTCTCGACTTACGAATGCAATTGAGCTCAACATTTCTGTTGCTAAGCGAGAAAGTTGCTAAGTGAAATTTGCCCCATTTCACGACGCTTCTTGACACAGTTGTTAAGTGAATCACTGCGGTTGCTAAGGGAGTAACACGGTTGTGAAGTGAATCCGGCTTCCCCATTGACTTTGCTTGTCAGAAGGTCATAAAAGGGGATCACGTGACCCTGGGACGCTGCAACCATCATAAATATGAATCAGTTGCCAAGTGCCTGAATTTCGATCACGTGACCACGGGGATACTGTGATGTCCGTAAGCGTGAAAAACGGTCCTTAGTCACTTAATACCATTATAACTTCAAACAGTCACTAAATCAGACATGTCAAACACAAAACCCGGGGGCCAGATGTGGCCCGCGAAGTGGTTTCATGTGGCCCACGAAGCCATCCTGGAAACAGTGAGGGAATGGCCCCCGCTGCCTTGGCCCTGGCCCAGGCCGGCCAGGAGCCAATGTACAATTTTGTGATGGCCATCTATGCTGAAACGCATTCAGTCTTAGCTCCACAAGGCCATCTAGAAACAGCGAGGAACCAGCCCCTGCCGTGTTGGCCCCGCCCCCTGGGTGCATGCTGGGGAGGGGTCACCCTTTGTGAGGAATGAAGAAATGCACCATGCCTTGGTGCTTGCCCCGGTCCCATCCCCTTCTGTCTGAGACCTTCAGATCTGTCCCACTCCTGCCCAGGCCCCCACAGGCACCATTGACGCGAACGATATAGAGCTGGCCATGCCCACCCAGTAGGCCACACCCACTCCATCCACGCCCACCCAGTAGGCCACACCCACCCTGGCCATACCCACCCGGCCCCCCAAGGGCAACCGCAATGCTGATGTGGCCCTCAATGAAATTGAGTTTGACACCCTTGCACTAAATGAAATGTTGTATGTCAAGATTGGGAAGGTCACAAATGGTGATCACATGAGCCTCTGGGTATTGTGACCGTCACAAATGCATGCCGGTGGCCAAGTGCCCAAATTTTGATCATGTGGACTGTCAGGATGCTGCAACGGTTATAAATGTGAGGATCGGTCCTAAGTCAGGTTTTTTTCAGTGCCATTGTAACTTCGAATGATTGCTAATCAAATGCTTGTAAGTCGAGCACTATCTGTGTAGTTGCTTTGCTGGTCTGAGTTACAGAGAGCTGAGATCCGTGGAGAGATTCCTCTTCTTTTCTCTAGTGGATTTTTTTTATTATTATTCTCATCGGTTGCTCAGTGGCCAGATTTATCGGCCCACGCCTTTCGCAAGGCCCTGGAAACATGGTTTTGCCAATGGGCATGGAGAATCGAAAGGCTGTCCTAGCTGGCACAGCGGCTGCACCGATGGTTATTGATGCATTTTTTTATCATCTTGATGTGCTTTTTATATGGTTTATATGTACTGCTTTTAATTGCGGTACCCTTTTTGCTGTTTTATATTGTTTTACCTGTTCTTATTTATTTGTTGAACATCATTGACTTCTTACTCCAGGAATTGAGGTATTTGAATTATTTGTTTAATCCAGTTTCACATTCAGGATTCTTAGACGAATAATTGGGGATAAAAAAGTTTATATGTGTTGTTTGAGGAGGAGGAGGAGGAGGAAGAGGAGGAGAAGGAGGAGGAGGAGGAGGAGGAGGAGGAGGAGAAGAAGAAGAAGAAGAAGAGGAGGAGGAGGAGGAGGAGAAGGAGGAGAAGGAGGAGGAGGAGAAGAAGAAGAAGAAGAAGAAGAAGAAGAAGAAGAAGAAGAAGAAGAAGAAGAAGAAGAAGAAGAAGAAGAAGAAGAAGAAGAAGAAGAGGAGGAGGAGGAAGAGGAGGAGGAGGAAGAGGAGGAGGAGGAGGAGGAAGAGGAAGAGGAAGAGGAAGAGGAGGAACGGCTGCTGGAATTGACTTTGTCTAGTTTAATGAAGAGAAGGATGAGGGGGGACATGATACCAGCGTTCCAATATCTCAGGGGCTGCCCCAAAGAAGAGGGAGTCAAGCTATTCTCCAAAGCGCCTGAAGGCAGGACAAGAAGCAATGGATGGAAACTAATCAAGGAGAGAAGCAACCCAGAACTAAGGAGAAACTTCCTGACAGTGAGAACAATTAACCTGTGGAACAAATTGCCTCCAGAAATGGTGAATGCTCCAACACTGGAAGTTTTTAAGAAGAGTCTGGACAGCGCTTTGTCTGAAAGGGTGTAGGGTTTCCTGCCTGAGCAAGGGGTTGGACTAGATGACCTCCAAGGTTCCTTCCAACATCATCATCATCATCATTATTATTATTAGGAGGAGGAAGAAGGAAGAAGGAAGAAGGAAGACAGAGCACTTTAGAGAACAAAGTATAGCTTAGGAACTAAAACGTCTAAAGTTCCTTTTCTTTGGATTGTTAGAAGGCACTTTTATTTCAGCAGACTTTCACCCCTAGATAACCTTTATTGGCATTCTTTTGGGTGTGGAGAAAGTAGACTTCAGGATGATCTAGGACAAGGGTGTCAAACTCGCAACGTCACATGACGTGTCGCAATGTATCGTGACTTTTTTTCCATAGCCGGCAATGGGGTGGACGCGGTTTCGGTATGACGCATCCGGCCCGTGAGCTGGCAGTTTGACACCCCTGATCTAGGATATTAAATTTTCATTAAGAATTTACACTTTGGAATAAGGGAGAATAAAAGCTGCTTCTTTCAGAAGAGTGTTAGCTCTTCTGGGATTTAATAAAGGCAGGACAAGAAGCAACGGGTGGAAACTCATCAAGGAGAGAAGCAACCTAGAACTAAGGAGAAACTTCCTAACAGTGAGAACAATTAATCAGTGGAACAGGCTGCCTCCAGAAGCGGTGAATGCTCCAACACTGGAAGTTTTTAAGAAGAGACTGGACAGCCATTTGTCCGAAATGGTGTAGGGTTTCTTGCCTGAGCAGGGAGTTGGACTAGATGACCTCCAAGGTCCCTTCCAACTTTACTACTATTACTATTACTAAACCTCGAGCATTGAGGTTTTCTTTAGTTTTCCTTAATTCTTCCTTGAATTATTTGCTAAGAAATGTTGTACCAAAAAGTTTGCCAATAAAATTGGCAATATCAGGCTGGTTATATCAAAGATGGGCCATCTGTATGTAGGAAGAAAAGGACTGGATGAAACTGTTGGTTTTAATCAGCTCAATATTCCAAGCAAGCTGTTTGTTATCCCTTAACTGGCTTCAAATATGCCTAAGTGTTTCCTTACCTTGGCTTCAAGTGAGGCTTCAGCCACTTAACTATGGGAAGGTGCTAAGGGAAAGAAATTGATGGAGGAAAAAGATTCATCAAACCAGCAAATAGAATCTGGAATCATAAACAGGAGCTCAACAGTTGGAACTGTGGGAATTCAGCCCCCCCCCCAGAAAAAAAATATTTTGGGAAATATTTAAAAGACAGAATATATTTCCCTAAAGGATTTTAAAAGCAGAAACCAATCCTGCCCCCAAGACTCTCTGTCCCAAACAGAAACCAAGTCTGCAGTGTTGCAGATGTGATAATCTTGTCAGAAAGACTGGAGTCAGGAAACTGGGATTAGGAAGAAAGATCCCTAGAATCAACACACCAAAAATCTTAGAGTCATCCGCCACAGCCCCAGGGAAGCAGGATTGACCTTTGGGACATAATAGGATTAACCCACCACCATCAGAATACCAGAAAGGCACACTCAGACTCAGGTCAAAGTTCATGCCACAGGAACAACTCCAAACAAAAGGTTCAAGAAGGTATAAAAACCCATTCCCTACATGTGCTCACTCTCTTTTCTTCCAGAGCCATCTTTCTGTCTGGCTCTCCTCTTCAATGAACTGCTACTTTCTTTCTAAAGCAGTCGTCATGTTTATTCCCGGCTTGGACTGTACCATGATGAAGACTTTTTCTTCAGCAAAACAGTTGAAACATTCTATTGTTAGAGCAATTTAAATTTTGTTAGTAAAATTACCCCACCCCGCTACATAGTGGATATCAGCAAAAAAAAAAAAAAAAAAGACGTCAACATATTTAAGAACTAAGGAAAAAAAACCCTGAAAGAACAATTAACCAGTGGAACAACCTGCCTTCAGAAGTTGTGAGTGCTCCAACACTTAAGAAGAGACTGGACAGCCATTTGTCTGAAATGGTGTAGGGCTTCCTGCCTGAGCAGGGGGTTGGACTAGAAGACCTCCAAGGTCCCTTCCAATTCTGTTATTCTGCTAAATAATTTTACTTTTATTTTACTTGCATTGACCTTCATTAAGCTTACATAAATCTCCTTTGTGTGTACATATTAATAAATATCGTAAAATTTTCTAATTGTACTTTGTAAACAATATTTCATGTTTATCTTTCATTACTGTATGCCAATATTGGAATCTATCTAGCAGATGTTTGCTTCTGTTATGAGGATGTCTGCTTTCACTAAAGATGTTGAGGTGGTTGATTATAAAACCAGATGGCTGCATTTGCACAGGGAGTTTTCCACTCAGGTTTTTCGTTCTTTCTTTTTTATTAGTAATTTAAGGTGAATAAATATTGGCTGCTAAGTTAACTTTAATATTCAACTTGATTTGGGCAACCCCAGAAAAAAGATCAGCTCAGAAACTGGGTCCCAGGTAGTGTGTGAATGTCATGTCTAAATATGTACCCAGTTTCAAATACCAAGCAAATTTATTTTCTTTCTTCATCAAGAAAATGAAGACATGCACATTTGAAGACATTACTGCAACATAAAAATATGCCGGAAAATATATCTCATAGTGAATCCTGATGAATATAGATCAATTATTAGCAAAGAAATGGGAACATGTCAAGATTGAGTATGCAACGAGCAAGACTTTTAAATTTTTAAAACCTATTTTATTAAATGGGATTTTTCTTCACTCCATAGAAGGATTTTATCCCCTTTGATAGAAAACCTGCCAACTCAGAACAAAGGTGCTTTAGCATATCCTCCACCTTGCTCGGTGTTTTCCCGAAGTCAAGGGTATTTGCCAATAATTTTGGGAGCAGGTGTGCATTCGGATTTCTTTATAATTTCCTTGTATAGCCCGGGCACTCCGTAAACACGTGCCTCATTCAGACAAGCATTCTTGGTTCCACAGCCCCGTTCTGCGTGACTGTAGAATCTTCCCTCTGCAGGAAGTGAGAAAGATGATAACAAAGTCCATTGTGTATAAAGCAAGGGACATTGTGGAATCAGCATTCGGGGCAGGGTTTTCGGGCAGATTTATTGTTATTTCCTGGCATTCAGGAGGATTTGTGGTGAGGTGTTTCATATTCTTAAAACAAATGTGCTATGCTATGGTAACCGGAACATGTTCCTCTGTACTTTATCCTCTATCAGGATGCAAGGAAGAAATCTACATATTTACGACTTTTGATATTTGCAGGAAAAACTTTTACAGTCATTGCTGTGAGATGAGCAGTTACATAAATTGGGTGGGTGGATGGATAGATGGATGGATGGATGGATGGATGGATGAGAAGGAAGGAAAGGGAAGGGAAGGGAAGGGAAGGGAAGGAAGGAAGGAAGGAAGGAAGGAAGGAAGGAAGGAAGGAAGGAAGGAAGGAAGGAAGGAAGGAAGGAAGGAAGGAAGGAAGGCTGATGTAATTGTAACCTGCTGTTCTGCAGAGATGAGCCTGGATTTAATTAAAATGACTGCAATCTCATTAAACTATTGCTATTAAGAGTAGAGCACAGTCATTCCCAGCTTGACTGCACTGACCCAGCTAATTTTATTTTACAAACAATACACAGGTTATGAGATTTATTGTATTTATTGAATGGCCAAAAGGCCATAACAGAAATGGATTCATTCTGTTTTAAGCCTGTTTTTAGACTTCCTTGTAGGGTTTGTGCATTTCATACAGCAAAACGGCAAGAGAGCCAGTTTGATATAGTGGTTAAAGCAACAGATTAGAAACCAGGAAACTGGGAGTTCTAGTTCCACCTGAGTTATGAAAACCAGATGGGTGACCTTGGGCCAGTCACCCTCTCGGTCCAACTTGCCTCGTTGTTCTGTTGTTGTTGTGGGTAAAGTAGGAAGAAGAAGGTGTGTTTGGACATGTTTGCCATCTTGCGTTATTTGTAAAAATAATAAAGATGGGATACAAATGAATAAATAGTGCTGTGGCTGGGGGTTTTTTGCAATACGTTACAGTCTTTGTGCATTTATCTAGAAATTTATCTTGTGATCAGAAGGCAGCTCAGAGCTCACAAAGGAAGCCTTGTACATCAACCTTCTCCCTCAATTTTGTTATTAAATATTGGAAATTACCTGAACCATCAAGGCTCATCCTGGTCCACACACTTTCTTCTTATCCTATCACCACCGCAGGTGGCGATACTATTCCTCGGCTCTTACCTTGTTCTACCGTCATATCGTAATGGACACAATACTCTTCCCAGCCATTGCAATGGATCAGCTCAGTGGGTTTGCAAATGGGATCCTCTGAGATGCATCCAGGACACTTCATTCCATTTGGGCGGATCCCGAGTTTGGGCACTTGGGGAATTGGGAAAACAAAGCAAAAATTACCACATTGCCATCCCATCTTCGGAGTCCCCAGGAACGTCCCCATCTTAGACCTTCGCTATGAGTTCTTGGAATTCCAAAGGAAAAGCGAGGATCAGCTCTCCGATTATATCTCAAGAAGATTTACTAGAATTTGTCTCAGAGCTTTCAGAAGTCACATTTTATACAGGTAGTCCTCACTTAAGGACCACAATTGGGACGGGCAACTCTGTCATTAAGTAAACACGGTTCTTTTTTTACTATTATTAAAAGTTTTTTATTTTTTCCATGTAAACATTATAAAAAAAAAATACAATACAGTTTTGAAATAAGATAAATTCGTAACCATTGGTACGACCTGCCCACTCTCCCCAGGCCGCGTCCACCCTCTCTTAAAACATTCCCTACTTCCCTCCTCTTTCTCACCTCCCATCCTACTCTCTTCCCCTCCCCCTCTCCTCTCACTGCCCTACTTCCTCTCTACACTTTCTCACCTCTCATCCCTATCAAACCCATGAACGCAGCATAAGGGGAGTGCCCAGGCCGCACCCCTATAAGCAACCATTATCTATATTACACTTGCCCCCCCACATTTCCTCCCTCCCACCCCCAACCCCCCTCCCTTCACTTCCCAGAGCAGAATACAGAGTTAATAATAAGATTTATAATAATAAGAAAAAAGAAAAGAAAAAGAAAAAAAAGAAAAAAAAGAAAATATCATACTTAACCTTTAACTCTAATAACCCATAAGAAAATTCTCTATAATATTTACTATAATATTCCTTCATAAAATAAATGAAACTTTTTAGTTCCATACTTTTTCTGAATATAATCTATCCATCTTCTCCATACAGTAATATAACTTTCTTGTGTATGATCCTTTAAATAAGCAGAAATTTTTGCCATTTCTGCAAGTAAACACGGTTCTTAAGCAAGACATCAGGTGACCACGATGGACATACAACCTCCCTTCCTCCATGGTGCTTAAGTGAATCACCCATGATCATGAAATGAGACACCAGGTGACCCACAACTTATGGTTTCATGGCCAGCTTCTCCGTGGAGTCTGCTTATCCTAAATGCCCACCAATTGTGAAGCACTGAATCTTGATTACAACAATGTAAGGATGCTGTGATGGGCATAAGCCATAAAGTTGTTACTTTTTCAGTGCAGACGTAATTTGAAGCAGTCGCTAAACCGAGCAGATATTAAGTGAGCACTACCTATAAAGGAATTGAGGCCTTTGAATTATGGTGCTGGAGAAGACTCCTGTGAGTCCCCTGGACTGCAAGGCAATCAAACCGGTCAGTCCTAGTGGAGATCAACCCTGACTACTCTTTAGAAGGCCAGATCCTGAAGTTGAAACTCAAGTACTTTGGCCACCTAATGAGAAGCAAGGACTCACTGGAGAAGAGCCTGATGCTGGGAAAGATTGAGGGCAATAGAAGAATGGGACGACAGAGAAGGAAGTGGATGGATGGAGTCACTGAAGCAGTAGGCGTGAGCTTTAATGGACTCCAGAAGATGGTAGAGGACAGGAAGACCTGGAGGAACGTTGTCCATGGGGTCACGATGGGTCAGACATGACTTTGCAACTAACAACAACAACCTATAATGGGCTGTGAGAATAACCTTGAAAGATAGCAGAAAGAACTGCAGCTTAAACAACACTCTGACAAGAGACATATGAATCTAAACCAGGAATGGGAGTAGAGAAAGTGTCTCAGAATTGACTCTTCCCAGCTTTCTGGAATGGAGGAGCAGAGAAATGGGGAAGCATTGTCAGACTTGGAAGATTCTGCCACTGTAAGGGGGACGAGCACTTACATGTCACAGTTCCACTGTTGCAAAGATCCTTGCGACAACACTTTGCGGCACTCCGCTTGCGTCTGGAAGGGAGGGTGAAGCTCATAGGTGATGGGACACAATGCTTGATTTTGCTGCAGCCTTTGTAAGTGGTGAGCCACACTTCATTGCCTGTGCAGGGGAAAGAGTTGCAGTCAAGATAGGGGCTAAGACAGGGATTGAAAGGGGCTTCATTTGGAAAGGGAAAAGAAATAACCAGAATTAGCTCCAGTTAGCTTTAACGTTATGAAGAGGGTTAATTGAGCGGAGTGGCAAGGAGCAACCTCGCCAGAGTTTTGCCACTGCTAAAACAGTGTTTCGTAATAGGCCGTAGCAGCCATTTGTGATATATGTACTGTACTTCCCGGCATATAAGACGACTTTCGCAAGTGTTAAACTCGGCGCCGAAGTCAGGGGTCGTCTTATACGCCGAGTCGTCTTATACACCAGAAATTACGGTAGTTTCCAGCGTATAAGATATAAGATATATATATATATATACATTGCTTACTGGTGTACACCGCTTAGAGAGTGCTTGCACTTAAAGCGGTATATAAATCTCATAAATAAATAAATAAGATGACTTTCTAGGCATGCGACTCAGCGCCAAAGACAGGGGTCGTCTTATACGCCGGGTCGCCTTATATGTCGGAATATCGGTACCCATAATACCAAATCAGTTTGAGTGTAGTGGGTTAGAAATTGGAAGACAGTGAGTTCTAGTTTCACCTAAGGCACAAAACCAGCCGAGTGATCTTGGGCTGGTCACTTTCTTGCAGTCCCAAGAAGGAGGCAATGACAAACCACTTGCCAAGAATACTGCAGAAATTTGTCCAGACAGTCTCCGGGAGTCAATACGGACAGACACACACACACACACACACACACACACACAAAATAAAACCCAGAATGTATTCTCAAACTTCCAAATGCACCACTGGGATTCAAACAGTGGTTGCAGACATTACTTCACTTAGGAACGTTTGAATTGCAAACTTGTGCTGATACGAACAACTCCAACTGTTTGCAACTCCAGCCAAGAATATCCTGGAGGCTGGAGGAAGATTAGTTTATAGCACATCACGTAGATACACTTGATTGGGCTTGCAAACAAAATGGACCTACAAACAGCCTTTTAGAACATCACTTGTTTGCATGTAGAGCACTGTCTGCCTTCCTAAATGGCCCTTGACTTTAATCTACTTCCTCAAATTCACGTCATCCCACAATAAATGAGTTCATTGTTCCTATGCCAGATGACGGTTCCTCGCAATATTCGAGGGCATCTGTAGGTAGAGACATACTTATACCCAAATTACACCAGAAAACGTCTATTTTAAATTCAAATCCTGCCACTTTTCTCAACTTACATCCTGCTAACTCTGGTATGTTCATCATTTCAGGGGGTTACAAAACACACCCTGTTCAACTACCAGCCCTGCTCACGGAACGGAGCCCTCCCTCTAAGTTTCCAGTCCTGAGTGGGTAACTGGCCAGAAAGGTCATTCACCAATGCTTGTCTCGGTGGTCAGAATCATACAGGTGTTTTCAAACGGGCGGCAGATGTGTGGCGTTCCAGTACAGAAACCGCTGCTGCTGCTGCAGTGTTCACACTTCAAACAAAGCCCTGAAAGGGATAAACCATAGATAAATACTAAGAGTCGGTCCATCATTGGAGCCAGGAACAATCCCAGGCTATGGTCAAAAAAGTCAAGATGGCAGCCCATATTTTATTGGGCAATGGGACAAGACACAGTAGTAAGAAAACATCTGTGCTGGTGGGGAAGCCAATGATCATGATCAAAACTCCAGGGAAATGGAAGAGTTAAGCGTCCCGTTTCAATCATCCCATCACTTGATTCTCGTTCCGCTCTTTCAGAACTGCACAAAGTGAAAATAAACCCCTAGCAGGGAGAGAGTTTGACCACCTGGATGTAAAAAGCAGTACAAGAGCTACAAGCTGCATTAGATAACTCCTCAGTATTAAAGGGTCTGGTTTGAGAACTTGGGTTCTGATCGAGTGGCGTTTTTAATTAAAACCCAAAGGGCTTACCTGCAGAGATCAGGATGGAGAAGAAATGGAAGATGATCGAGGACATCTGCATGGTCCTTGAATACAGAAGATCATGTGAAAAGCTCAGAGCTGGGCTAGCTCCTGGATGAAAGGTGACTACCGTAGGCTTTGATAGCTGATGAGGACTTATAGCTTCTTGGCAGGAGAGAGTAGGAGGGACAAGAAGACAATGAGGATGGGAGGCCAGCACAGTTCCTGGTCTCCCAAGTTGCAGAAAGGATCAGTCACAGACTGAAACTCTTGTTCTGAGCTTAGTGACCAGAACGACATGCAGAGAGCTAAGACTGCAGCTTTTCAGATCAATGGGCAGAGGAAAAATACAAAGTATTTCAACAAGGCTTTCCACACTCGTGGTCTGGGCAGAGGTCTTCTCCCTTCTCCCAGAGCCTGACAAGAGCTGTGGTAGCACAGTGGTTAGAATGCAATATTGCAGGCTAACTCTGCCGACTGCCATCAGTTCGATCCTGACTGGCTCAAGGTTGACTTAGCCTTCCGTTCTTCCGAGGTCGATCAAATGAGGACCCAGATTGTTGGGGGGCCACAGGCTGACTCTGTAAACTGCTTAGAGAGGGCTGCAAAACACTGTGAAGCGATACACGAGCCTAATAGCTATTGCTATTGCCCTGGGAGGAGAAACAAGGAGACCATCAACTATCATTGCTTCCCCAAATATGAAGACAGTACATTAAGTGCTGCTTGTAAGTGTATCTAATTGACTCATCTCTGTGTAATTATTTGCCCCATCTCATTTTCTCTTTCTGCATTGTGTGTGTTAAATTATCATTTGAAAGGCAAGGAATTAAATTTTATATAAGCAAGTCTGAACTTTGAAGAACAGGAAAGAAAGTCATTAGCCCTGCAGGAGTGTACAGCACTTCACCCTAAAAGTATTGGACATTTCCAATTTGCAAAAAGGAACTAGAGATCAGTTCCAAAAGGCAGCATATGAAACACACACACACCCCTGGAGGAAGCATTCAATAATTCAGCAACATTGTTGTAAAGAAGCACAACAAGATTTTATTCAGCCATAAAAAAGAAATGAACTCATTGTTCGAGGTAATTAGAACTCGGTCCAATTAAGCTCTACTTGCCCGGCTTCTAAGGATCTGAGGGACTAGCCCCCTGCTCATTAAATCAATCACTTGGCAGCATGAGAACATGTAACATTCTTCCAAATTTCTGCATACAACCCAGGGATGCCAAAGGTGCGCTCTTTATTCCTGCAAGCTTGCTTGGTTCCACAGCCCCGTTTGGCAAACACGTAGATCTCATTATCTGCAGGAATTAAGGGGAAATGTCACCACTGGAGGATCTGGACTCTGTTACAGTCAAGGAGAGAGGCCTGGACCTTGAACAACTGTATTGATACCTGGTAGACCAGAAGTCCCCAACCTTTTGGGCTACAGGGACCGGTTCCGTGGAGAGAGTTTTTTCCGCGGACTGGAGGGTGCATGGTTTTGTGTGCTGCCTGCAACTCGCAGATGGGGTTTTGCTTATTTGTGCAGACTGGTTGCTGGCATGCCGCGGCCTGGTGCCGGTCCACGGACCAGGGGTTGGGGGACCTCTGCTGTAAACCAGAGGTCCCCAACCTTTTGGGCACCAGGGACCGGTTCCGTGGAGAGAGGTTTTTCCGCGGACCAGAGGGGGCGTGGTTTTGTGTGCTGCCTGCATCCCGCGGATGGGGCTTTGCTTGTTTGCGCGGTCTGGTTTCTGGAATGCTGCAGACCAGGGGTTGGGGACCCCTGTTCTAGGCTATTTGCAGATGTTCACAAGGTGGGTGGCGTTAACGTCTCTTGGACTTGCTCTCTGTTAATGCCACATATACTCTTGTTTCCCTAAACAGCCCCGACCCTTCTGGCCTTGGTGGCAGGTGATGCAGCAGGAATCATGGATAACATTAGCGATGATGTCATTGTTGGATGCTGCGGGGCTATCCTCAAGGGTATTTTGGGCAGCAGTGCTGTCCCTCAGGTATTGTTTTGTGTCCTTTGTAATGCAGGACGTTTTGTGTGCTGTGGAGTAGCCTAAAAGCTGGACTAGAAGCCCTTTTGCCTATGTGGCCTCCCATCTGTCTATCCTAGTAATGCCCTACAACTTCCTTCAAGGGAAGCAAATCTAGCAAAATAGAAAGGGGCTGTTACTAAAGGTAGCGTGTTTAGAAAAGGGGCTCTTTTCATAACACAGCCAACTTTGCCTAGCCTTAATTGTCTGAGATGCTAGTTACTCTCTCAGCCCAAAGTCACCAGGTAAGCTTTTGTGCTAAAAGGAGATTCCCATAAGTGCTTTTTCACAAGGCAACTGGATTTTTGTGAAAAAGCACCTTTGGGATAATTGTATGACCTGGATCAGGGGTCCCCAACCCTGGACCGTGGACCAGTACCGATTTGTGGCACGCCAGCAACTGGTCCGCACAAAGAAGCAAAGTCCCATCCGCGAGATGCAGGCAGCACACAAAAGAATTTTTTTGAAGCAGTCCCCGCCTGCCTTGAATTGCCCTATCTGACAGGGTTGTTGTCGTTGTGGGGAAAACAGGAGGAAGAATGAATATTAGTTATGTTTGCCACCTTGAGTTGTTGCTAACAACAATAAAGGCAAGGAATAAACAAACAAAATGATGTGGGTACTGGTTACACAGACTGGGGTTTGGGGACCCCTGTGGTAGACTCACTACAGTTTTTTTTTCTAGATCATTCCTTTCTGCACCTTATAATTATTGTATCTAGCTTCCAAGTTTGTGAGAATGATTTTTAGCAGCCTGCCTTGATGATTTGTCCCGATCATGTGGAGCATTGCTTTCTCACATTTCAAGACCTCAGATTCCTTGATCAGTGGAATAAGAGGCATACAGTTTAGGGATATATCATTCCAGCTAGAAAAACCAGCAGAAGAAGACCTTAAGCAGAAGTAAAACTCTCTTCTTAACTACTTCAGAATCAGAAAACAACAAAAGGTCCTTAAGTCTCTTGAATATGCTTCCAAATCAAGTGTCCAAAGAGAGTACAAGCAGTCCCCCGACTTACAACCACAACTAAGCCCAAAATTGATGTTGCTCAGTGAGACGTTTGTTCAGTGAGTTTTGCCCCATTTTATGACCTTTCTTGCCACAGTTGTTAAGTGAATCACTGTGATTGTTAAGTTAGCCACCTCGTTGTTAAGTGAATCTGGTTTCCCCATTGACTTTGCTTGTCAGAAGGTCGCAAAACGGAATCACACACCCTCCGCCCCGGGACGTTGCAACTGTCATAAATATGAGTCAGTTGCCAAGCGTCTGAATTTGGATCACGTGACCCAGAGTCGTAAGTGTGAAAAACGGTCATAAGTAATTGTTTTCAGTGTCATGATAACTTCAAATGGACACTAAATGAACTGTTGTAAGTCGAGGAATATCTGTAGTAAAAATGTATGGATATCTCCTCTTTCAAGGTCCAAAATTATTACAAAGTTCTCTTGGCCTGTTCCCAAAATATTTGGCCTCATGGAAGGTATGAACCAAAATGGCTCCTCTTTCTAGTTCAGTGGTTCTCAACCTTTTTAATGCCACGACCCCCAACCGGTCGTAAGTTGAGGACTAAACCGGATGTAAGTCAAGGACTAAACCAGTCGTAAGTCGAGGACTACCCAACCGGTTGTAAGTCGAGGACTTTCCCTGCCTGGGAGCACCACGCATGCGTCGTGCCTCCCCCTGCACCGGCCGAGGCATAGCTGGCAAGCGGCAGAGATGGAGCAGGCTGACCACCAGCTGGGCCACCAGCTGGCCCAGCCCAAGGGAGGTAAGGCACCCACCGGAAAAGGGGAAAAAATGGCGGACAGCCTTGCTTGGCGACCCCCATGAAATGGTCGATCGACCCCAAATGGGGTCACAACCCATAGGTTGAGAACCGCTGTTCTAGTTCTTCACATCTGAAGGACTTACCGTGTTGCACAGTCACACCCATGTAAACACATTTCTGCTCCTTGTCATGGCAGTTCAACATCTCTGTGGCTTGGCATTCCAGATTCATAGAAAAGCATCCCGGGCACTTCAGTCCATTTTGTGTTTTCTTTGCGTCTTCCACTAGGAGAAGCCATCACATAGTTGGGTAAGAGCAACTTAACTGTTGGAGGGTTATGTCAGCAACTTCAAGGAGATCCATTATTGGATCTGAATGGGCTGTAGTCCCATTCATGCAGTCCTGAATTAAATCAGACCACCCATTAATCTGCACCACCCAGATCTCATTTTATTTAAATCAGATATATGCAATTGTATAACAGCCTTGTGCAACTAAAAATTCTACTGCCTCTTGGATCTTCCTCGTCTGTCTAAGCTAGCATTTCTCGACCTTAGTAACTTTAAGATGTGTGGACTTCAGCTCCCAGAATTCCTCAGTCAGCACAATGAAGCCCATACATCTCAAAGTTGTCAAGGTAGAAAAACACTGCTCTAAGCAAGAAACGAATCAACTCAATGCCCAGAATCAAAAATGTTTTCAGCTACCATTGCACAATTCTACATATCCCAGTTTCTTCTGATGCTTTTACCTAGTTGGGGTAATGAAACATCTGTAGGAAAACAACCAAATTTGAGAGCACCAAGGACCCCTCACTAGATATTTCGACATCTTTCCAGCGCTCGAAACCTCCATGTCTGTTCACTTTCCCAGTTGGAAAGAATTCAGTGGGAAGTCTTCTTTCATGCTTCCCTTTGCAATTCATCTGAGGAGCCTAAAAAGCTGAAGCTTGTTAGGGAATGGACATTTCATGCACACAGCACCATTTTGATTGGAGCCACACAAAAATCATTGGCCACGCCACTACCTGCCATGCTTGCGAGTTCATCAGAGCCTGGCATTCCACAAACAATTCCATCAACAGACACATTGACCTACAACCAACGTAGGCACCCTTCAGAATCGAAATCAACTGCATGTCAATGCTGCTAACATTGAATGTTTTTGCTTTGACAACAGATGGAGATGCAGCCATTTTCTTCTTTTGCTTTTAGAGTTAGATGATGCTGGGGAGGGGGGGGATGTGCATGAGAGTCTAGCTAAACATTATAACACTGAACCTAGTGTGTGAACCAAGGTTATTGAAATAAGAGACGATAAGAAATGGCGGGCTGGAGAACTGGAGGGGAAGCCTGCATTTCAAACTAATTGGAGAATGTGATTTATGACTGTTAATTGGAGGAGGGAATTATGCTTTGATACTATGTGCTCAGGGGAGGGGAACTCAGTTTTTGGCTTCAATTATGTTAGTGCTGATGCTATGCTACTCAAATAAAGATTCTGTAAGGTAAACAATGCCTCAAAGTTCTTTGAAGAGTTTCATCTGTCGGAACGACACCGCACAGCCAACCAGAGGCAGCACTGACCTTCAACCAACCCACACAAGCCCCCCTCAACCAGCAGTTCACCTCCCAATGACCTTGACCTGATGTAACCTCCCCATCACAAGACTCATCATAAGTTTTCCACCTGACCCATCACAAGACCCATTACAAGACCCTCACTTGACACACCCACATCTGAAGCCCTTATAAACAGTAGAACACTGACATCCCATAAACTCCACTGAAGATATTATTTAGCCTGGTAGCAAAATGTTTGGAAGCCAACCCACAAGTTCTTACACCCGGCTACAGATATTCGCCATTATTGAAAATCTGAATTTTGAGCACATGACCGTGGGATGTTGCAACGATCATGAGAAATGGTCATAAGTCACTTTTCTCAGGGCTGTTGTAACTTTGAAGGGTGACTCAGTCAAGGACTACCTATCCACATACAAAGGAGACCCATGCAAATTTCCCTGAAGCCCTCTTCTGCTTTGACAGAACAAGAAATAGTAGTGGAGAAAAGTGCTGAAGAGTGTCTCGGTCCAATCTGAGCAGGACTCACTCATAATTTTTGGGTCCTTATTAATGAGTAACACCCATCAATAAGAATTCAGAAGTTTTTGGGGGGGGGAAACTTACATTTCACAGCTCCTTTGTTGCAGAAATCATGGTAGCAACACTTGGCCGTCCTTCGCTCATGCTTCGAAGGAAACGTAAAACTCATGGAAAAAGATGGACAGTTCTTGGTTGGCACACAGCCTTTATAGGTGGAGAACCATTGATCATTCTCTGGAGTTGCAAGAGGAAAATCACAAGACAAGGGTCAGAGCTGGATAAAGTAACATCAGAAGGTGAAGGTTGGAGATGGGTCTCGGTGACATCAAGAAGTAGAGAGTAAGGAAGAGGACCTTGACAGAGACATGCTAATTCCATTCCTGAAGTCACCTTCCTTACTCTCTACACAAGATTAAGGGAACTTTCAGAGAGATTGGAGACGATTGTATCCTAGAATCTAGGACAGGGGTAGGCAACCTCGGCTCTTTTATGACTCATGGACTTCAACTCCCAGAATTCCTGAGCACAGCTGGCTCAGGAATTCTGGGAGTTGAAGTCCATGAGTCATAAAAGAGCCGAGGTTGCCTACCCCTGATCTAGGACGATGGAAGGGACGATAAAGATTTATTGAAGCCCACAACTGTCCACCAGCTCCAGGCTTCAATGGGAGCAACCATAGGTTTTCATATTATTTTTCAGATTTGGATTACAGTGGTTCCACCATACAAGGCAGAAGGCCTTGAACTCAAACAGGCTGTTATTGGTTTGTGGCAGTGGTGGGATTCAAATAGGTGAACAACCGGTTCTCTGTGTGGATGCCACTTCCAGAAGTCCATTCTGGGCTTGGACAACAAAAAATTAGCTACCGGTTCTGCTGAAGTGGTGCAAACTGGCTGAATCCCACCACTGGTTTGCAGGTGTGCAATTGAATGCCATTGTTTTCAGATGTGTTTGAGCATATTGGCTAGAAATTAAGGATTCTGTAATCCAACAGATTAGGAGGATACATGATACAGGCTTGGAAAATATATATTTTCTAAGCCTGTATCCTGCATCCTCCAAATCTGTTGGATTACAGCAGCGGTTCTCAACCTGTGGGTCGGGACCCCATTTGGGGTTGAACGACCATTTCACGGGGGTCGCCAAACAACGCAGTCTGCCATTTTTTCCCCTTTTCCTTAGCTGTGCTACTCCCTTTTATTCTATTGGCTTTTGAAAGCCAATAGAATAGACTCTCTTGAATAGAGTCTAATTCTATTGGCTTTCAAAAGCCAATAGGAATTGTCCAGGCTGTCTCTGCCCTGCTGAGCCCACCAAAAGTCCCATTCTGCAAACGGTGCTGCAAGTTGTCTGCAGTGAAGGTGAGCTGTCTGGAAGTTTCCACCCCTCCCTGCTGAGCAACTACTAAAAATGTAAGGCCAGGGGTGGGAGGTGGGAGTCCGGCGGGTGCAGGGAGGGTTGCTGGCATGCGTGGGGCCCGGTGGGTGCCTTACCTCCCTTGGGCTGGGCCAGCTGGTGGCCCAGCCGGTGGTCAGCCTGCTCCATCTCTGCCGCTTGCCAGCTACGCCTCAGCCGGCGCAGGGGGTGGCACCACGCATGTGCGGCGCTCCCGGGCAGGGAAAGTCCTCGACTTACGACTGGTTGGGTAGTCTTCAACTTACAACCGGTTGGGTAGTCCTCAACTTACAACCGGTTGGGGGTCACGGCATTAAAAAGGTTGAGAACCACTGGATTACAGCATCTGTAATCTCTAGCCAATATGATTTCAAGGCCTTCTACTTTGTGTATGTGTGTGTGTGTGTGTGTGTGTGTGTGTGTGTGTGTGTATACACATATCCCTCTTCTCCAACATAACCTTTTAATAACCAGGCTACTGTAGTCTTAGATTGGAATAATCCAATCCCCTCCACCCCTCAAAAAACAAAGACACCCACCAATGATGTTCTCTGTGGTAAGGATCAGGCAGGCCTTTTCAGATTTTGGACAATTATATGGGGCCCCGGTGCAGGAATTGGTTTTGCTGCTGCATCGTTCACACTGTAAGCCAAGCCCTGGAAGAGAAGATCAGCAAAGCCGTGTGCCACTGTCTTCTTGGTTCTTACTTGATAGCACAAATGTCACCTAACTGCTTCTTTATCATAGATCAGTGATGGCGAACCTTTTAGAGACCAAGTGCCCAAAAACTGGCCCCACCCCTGCTCCATCCCCTGCCCCGCCCCCACTCCGCCTACCTGCAGGGCCACTCACCGCCTCCAGGGCCCACTGCAGATCGCCCAGGCAGCCCAGCAGCGCCATGCTGGCCACGCACTCTGCCCGTGCCCTGCAGCATCAACTGTGTGCGATGAGGTGTGAGGGCAGAGTCTTGTCTACACTGCCTGGCTGCCATGTCCTTGGCTGCACTGCTCCACGTGGGCCACACTCGGGGGTGACTCTCCTCCAGGGGGGCTGCTGGTGAGGAGGGGGTTGTGGGGGGGGCAGACTGGGGCAACGGCATGTGTGCCCACAGAGAGGGCGCCGAGTGCCACCTCTGGCACCCGTGCCATAGGTTCACCACCATTTTCACAGATCATTCTTCACGTGAAATGGCAGTGAAGCAAGCATGTTTATCAGCAGCAAAAAAGCAAAGAGAAAAACTCATCCCTCTGCTCTTTGCATGGCACAGAATTGGGAAAAAATATATATTCTTGAAAGTGAACACTCTACCTCAGCCTAAAACAAGCCAGAAATTTGTGGGAGAAGGAGAAGAGACACCCTGGTGATAGGTTTTTATAGGACATAGTCTGTAGGATCAACAGTAAAAATCCTAATAAGTATACAGACGGTTCTCAATCCTTCCAATTATAAGAACCCAAGATGGGGAAAGATGGGGAAAATGCTGAAGATATTGGAGAATCACAGATCATCAAACTAGACACTGATGAACTAGGTGACCAAACACTACATTGTGATATAAAATAAGTGTGTGATGTCCCTAAACAGTGTTTAAAAATGCCCTCCATCTTCTCTACCATACAGCCTTTCCATCTTGTGGTGCCTTCATAGCATGTAGCTTAAGAGAAAGACTTACTGCTTAAGATTTGCTTCAGTTATTTGGCCTGTACTATGACGGGTATGATCAGCAGAGTACTTGTCACTTAGCCACAAAAATTACACTAACTAAAATATTAAACCTATCCCAAATGAAATTGTATCGCTAATTGGTGTCTGAAATCCCAGATGAATGTCCACGTCCTAACATCTCCCCTTTAGGATGTCTGAGAAGAAATAAAAGAGAAGGTATGGAGAAAACTCCAGATAAGGGCTTGAGAAGCTAAGGACTTGAAGAGACAAGAATAATCCAAGCAACTCTAAGTATCTTCTGTGTCTAAATCAGTCCCTGATAACTTACCAAGAGCCAGCAGAAAGTCAAAGAGGTAAAAAGTCAGCAATGCAGCCATTCTCTTTAGAACCAGAGAGAATGGAAGGCTGGAGTTGAGGTGGCAACTGCATCAACATCTGGATTCTTCTAACTGAGGAAGCTTCCTGGAAAGGATACAAGAATGGGCCAGGGGAAATGGCAGATTCAAAGTCCCACTTGTAAAATCCATCACTTGCTAAAACTCAGCCTGAACTTGCCTGACCCATTATCATACTGAAGGATATTCTAATTCATTCAAATCAAGTATCCGTTTGCCTTCTGAGCTCTCCCCATATTCCTACTTAACCCCACCCTGCTCCCCAAAAAAGAAAAAAAACATGAGATTTTTTTGACCAGAGAAACTCAAAATGGTTGAATCAGAAGGAAATATTCCCGAGTTCCAGGTAACACAACTGTATTCACAATATTTAGGATTCAACCTGTTTACCTGAAAGTGAGACCAACTGAATTCTTTAAGACTTACTCCTAAGCCAACACAGTAGGGTCAGGGATGTCAGTTACACAAGCTTTTCTCAATAATTTGGGCATCCAATATGGAATCATGCAAGCCATTGCTGATCCAAAGTTATATACCCATTGCATGCTGTCAGTTTAATGTTCTCCAGCAGCTAGTTTACATTTGGGAGCTGAAAGATATTTCTCTCAATTCTTATGTCACTGTCTTTCTTAGATTAAGGTAAATAGAAGTGGGGAAAAATATTATTGGCTAACACGATTATGACATCAGTGGCTTGTTCCACCAACCACAGGGCACGTTAGAGTTCTTTGTCCACTCTTTGTTGACAGTTATTTCTGGTGGTCATAAAGCTAGTTCCATAACCAAGTTGCACCCATTTGACACCCACTTGGGATTCCTGTGTCACTCCTCTTTGATTCCAACTCCTCAACCTTAAACCTAGATATTTTGACAGTTTGGGCAGTTGATTGGTTCCAGAGAGTTAGGTGTCAGGTTTCTTTCCTGACACCCAAAATGGCCATCCCATCTTGTTCCATAAGCAACTTGGCTCTGGTGCACCCGTGCCAAATGGAACTCATTGTGTAATTTGTGTAGATAAGCTGTCATTTGGGAGGAATTATGAGACAACATTTATCCTTAGAAGAATTTGAAAGGGGGAGATATGGGTGAAAGCCTACCATTAATTCCTTTAGAAATCCATCTACGAGGATGGATTTATATGAGGTCAAAGTAGGAATGTTCAAAAATTGAGAAGTGAGCAGATTTGAGCATTTTCAACTGATAAACCTCAAACCCCTAAAAGGAAATGATGGGTGTCACAGATCCTTCCTCAAATGTAGTTTTTGATTAAGGAACTCTTATATATTCCTGGCATATTTTGTCACTGGGTAATTTCCAGAAAGTGCAATGATTGCTTTTTTGATTACTGAGTAACAGAGGTTATCTTTACTAATAGTCCATATGCTGACATAAATTGTTTCAGCTCCTCCCCTCAGGACGCCACTATAGGGCATTGCGTGCCAAAACAACTAGACACAAAGACAGTGTTTTTTCCCCGTGCAATCACTCTGATTAATACATAATCCCCACAGCACTGTTTTATGTCTAAGGATATTTACCCATGTAGTATGACTGTATTACTATTATCCTTCTCATCTTTCTATTATCTTCTCCTATTGGTATCTTATGATTATGATTATGTTACTTGTTTGTTGTTTGTCTCCAGAGTTATATATGGATATGTCTCCAGTTCTTTCTCGTCTATTCTACTGTCTCCAGGTACTGCCACGTCCACTATCCAGACTTTTTTGTCTTTCTTATCAACAATTATCTGGGGTGTTATGTTGCAGGTGCTTGTCTGTTTGAATTCTGAAGTCCCAGAGCAGTTTAATTTTATCATTTTCTATGACTTTCTCTATTTTATGATCCCACCAGTTTTTGCTTCCAGGCAAATGATATTTTTTGCAGATCTTCCAATTATTATTATTCCCATAATAATATTAATTATTATTATTATTATTTGTAATTAATTATTAATTATAATAATTAATAATAATATTGGAAGATTCCAATAATCTTCCAATTATTATTATTATTATTATTATTATTATTATTATTATTATTATTATTATCAATCATCGCACAGTCAGCCAGATGTTCAGACTGGATTTGGCATTTTGTCTACCTATCGAGTCCTTACCCAGGACCTGCGATAGGCAGATGTGGATGTTTGATGGTATTACAGATACCGTCGCAGGATGGAAGCAGTTCCTAATAAGGCCGCCTTTTGCAATTGACTAATAGCGAATTATTATTATTATTATTATTATTATTATTATTATTATTATTATTATTATTATTTCTAGAGACCAAGTATTATTGTAAATAAATGCCTTCATTCCTTCTCCCACTTTGTTTGAAAGATTATTAGACCTCGTGGATGAAAAGAACTTGAAAATTTTATTGGTAATTCCGGAGACAATCCAGATGGCGGCCTTTTTATCAAGCACAGAGGAGGAACCAGATGACTTCATGAAAGGTTCTGGACGAAGAGGACTCCGACAAGAGCCGAAAAAATGATGCTTGAGGAAGAAATAACACCCCACACACCCCTGTCGGTGCAAGCTGCTTTCACACTCAATTTATAGATCTTCCCTCCAAATGGCACAAGATCATTCTGTTGCAAGCTGCAGGCATTCTTCGTTGCACAGCCCTTGATGGCGAAGGATTGATTCGTAGAAGCTGCAGAAAGAGAAATAAGCCGAGCTACATTTGTGCAAACATGGGAATCACTTTGGCATGGGGAACTGTGGCGTGCGAGTTCAATTCCTGAGTATTGTCTTGCATGTGCGAATCAAACAACACTGAACTTCCTAAATAGAGTCTATTATTTCACCCCGCAACTATCAATAGCGTTCCCAGGAGTGCCTGTTTCTTGACCTCATCTTCCTCAAAGGCTAATTTTGAAGGCCCCTAAGGGTTTAACCCCTTCTCATACCAAACAAAATCAAGACAAGAGTTATTTTGAGGTGTTTTTTTTTTCTCATGCTTTCCTCTTTTTCAGGACTGAGTAATCTTTTCTGAAACTTATTCCCTCCCCAGAGAAGAGCAACTAAGATGATCCAAGGCCTGGAGACTAAAACATATGAAGAACGGCTGCAGGACTTGTGTTTGGCTAGTCTAAAGAAAAGAAGAAATAAGGGAGACATGATAGCAGTGTTCCAGTATCTGAGGGGCTGCCACAAAGAAGAGGGGGTCACATTATTCACCGAAGAACCAGAGAGAAGGACAAGAAACAATAGTTGGAAACTGACCAAGGAGAGAAGCAACCTGGAATTAAGGAGAAACTTCCTGACAGTGAGGACAATCAACCAGTGGAACAGCTTTCCCCAGAAATCGTGGGTGCTCTATCACTGGAGATTTTCAAGAAGAGACTGGATATTCACCTGTCTGAGATGGTATGGATTCTCCTGCTTGAACAGGGGGCTGGACTAGAAGACCTCCAAGATCCCTTCCAGCTCTATTCTATTCTAAACTGGAACTTGATATCCAGGTCAAGATTCCTTCACCATGATGAACTAAGGAACAGCACATATAAATTGACTCTGTTTTGCATTCCAATTCTTTAGGGCAGGGCTGTCCAATCTTGGCAATTTTAAGACTTGTGGACCTCAACTTCCAGAATTCCTCAGCCAGCTATAGGATCATGGTGTGATTGTAGCCAGTATATTGTGGGGACAGGGTGGATGAATGATTAAATAACTGAAAAAATACCAATAGATTCTCCTGTGAGAGTAATGCATTTCTCTTCAGTTCCGATGCAGGCAATGTGACTTTTGATTTCACACTCTTTCTGACTGTAGCTTTCACAGGCTGGGCAAGACACCCCGTTTTCCAATGTACCAACTGGGGGAACTGTAAACCAAGATAGATTTCATCTTAGTATCCAAATGAGAAGATATATCAAGGGATCTGTTGGAGGTACAGTGCCAAAAACACAGGATTACTGCCATGATCACACCGCACCTCTGATTTTGATCGTTTTGATAGCCACGATGTTATCCTGAATTCTTTGATACATGCACCATTACTACCCTAAGCATTTTGACTGATAAGCATCCTGTATCACTAAGTCAACTGTTGGCTATTAAAATATCTTTTCCCCCTTAGATTTACTGTATTTAACCAGTTTTCCATTGGCTTGGAAGATTTTTTGTTTTATCCATCCAACTCTGAATAGGCTGTCTTTGAGTGGGGGTTGGCTAGTTCCATTCTAAATTTCTCCTATTTTATTTTAATCCTAGTTTAGACATTGGTCCATAAGCAGAATTTCTAACAGATACGCATTAGCCCAGGGGTAGGCAACCTTGGCTCTTTGATGACTCGTGGACTTCAACTCCCAGAATTCCTGAGCCAGCCATGCTGAGGGGAAAGGGAGAGGTTTCCAAGCTGAGCCAGGCTGGCTCAGGAATTCTGGCCGTTGAAGTCCACGAGTCATAAAAGAGCCACGGTTGCCTACCCCTGATCTGGGACTTCAACTCCCAGAATCCCCTAGGTTAGGGGTAGGTAACCTTGGCTCTTTGATGACTTGTGGACTTCAACTCCCAGAATTCCTGAGCCAGCCATGCTGAGGGGAAAGGGAGAGGTTGCCATGCTGAGCCATGCTGGCTCAGGAATTCTGGGAGTTGAAGTCCACGAGTCATAAAAGAGCCAAGGTTGCCTACCCCTTAATTAGCCTCTGGTCAAGAGCCATTGTAGAGTTGTCCTCCTTAGAACTTGGACACAAAGTGTTGCATTGCAGATTTAGAAGATAATAGCCCCTCTATTCCTCATTGTTCACTCTGTCCTTAGGAATAGATCCTATACTGTACCTCTGATTTAAGACTGTAGGGACAAGAATCTAGAAAAATCCAGGAATGAGCATGCAATAATCACTTTCTTTAAGAGTTCCCTTTCCCTGAGGTAAATATTTAGCCAGAAATGAGCAGCTGAGCCACTCATGTTTTAATTCCCTTGGGAGGTGTGTGGCACAGAAATCTTTATTGTTTCTGTTGTTTATTTTTTCCTATGGCAAGTCAGTGTTTGTGTTTCGTCTGTTTGGAGCATTAATTCAGCAGCTTTCTAAAATTGCTTTCTGTCTCTTGAGAAGCTCTGAATTTTTCCCCCCTTGCCAATTTATATTTTAAATAGGATTATCCGAAGAAAGGAATAGAATTCTTATATGATAGTTTCCTCTTTTAAATAAAATAATTCAATTTAAAAAAAAAAAGAAACGGTTCCCAAACCCAGGAAATACCCACCACTTAGACTTAACCCTCCATTGCACATATCTGTTGAGCAACATGCCATATTGCTTTGGATGTGGCGCCCAGCAGCTGTGGTCAAGGTGAAGGCTGAAGGTCTACAAAGCTTTTGGTCAATGCATCCTTTGTATGATCCACTGGGTTTGACATTTCCACCTGGGAAGAATGAATGAAAAGCAAGTAGAGAAGAATCGATCCATTCCATTGCCTCTGGTAAACCAGCAACTCCAGCTTCCTTAGATTCTACTGAGTATTCTTTATCTACTTGAGTTTTATCCTGATTTTATTACTTTATAAGTAACTCAGGGTGATGAACATACAGAACATACAGCTGCTTCCTCCTCCTATTTTCCCCACAACAATCCTGTGAGGTGGGCTAAAAGAGGGTGATTGGCCCAAGATCCCCTAGCTGACTGTGATGCTTAAGTCAGGATTAGAACTCATCATCTGCTGGTGATTGGCCCAAAGTCACCCAATCCACTTTCATGCCTAAGGCAGGTTTAGAACTCACCATCTGCTGGTGATTGGCCCACAGTCACCCATTCCGCTTTCACGCCTAAGGTGGGATTAGAACTCACAGTCTCCTGTTGATTGGCCCAAAGTTCCCCAGGTGGCTTTCATGCTAAGGAGGGACTAGAACTCACCGTATCCTGGTTTCTAGGTCAGCACTTTAACCATTACACCCAGCTGGCTCTATGCGTGGCATCTGATGAGACCCAGCACTCTTACCCAGTGTGTTGACTTCTGCCAAAGTTACACATGCAACCCCAATATTTGTGCAATTATCTCTGCATTCAGTGCTTCCAAGAGGACACGAAACACAGGTTAAATTTGCCATTCCTAGGGAGAGAGAGAGAAAGTGTGAGTTACTGGAAAAAAAAAAATGAGCACTTCTCTGCTGTAGACCCAACCAGGCCTTGATCTTTGGACCACCGAAATTGGAAATGTCCACTCCGAGGGCAGCTCTGATAACTCCAACATTCATTTTTCTTTCCCTCTTCCTCTTTTGGTGTTTACCTACATATAAGCTGCTGGTTCTACTGCAAGGAACAAAGGAGGAGTACAGGTAATGCTCACCACCATTAGGGCTACAGTTTCCACTGCTGAGTGAATTGCAGCCATTTTGTTTTCCTTTTTAGCCACAGTTCTGAAGCAAATCACTGCCGTTGTTAAGCGAATTACATGTCATTAAATAAACCCAACTCCTCCCCCCATTGACTGTTTGTTGGAAGTCAGCTGGGGAGGTCACAAATGTTGATCCCTTTACCCTGGGATGCGGCACCTGTCAAAAATAGCATACTGGTTGCCAAGCACCCAAAAGGATTGGATGTATGTAAGTCACGTTTTTCAGTGCCTTTGTAACTTTGAATGATCACTAAACGAATGGGGTAAGTTGAGGGCTGCCTTTACTTGATGCCTATAATCCATTTGCAACCGTCTGTCCAGGAATTCACACACCTAGCACAAATTCAGGGTTGAAAGGACTCACCGTGGACATAAGGGAGGACAATAAAAATTAGGCAGAGGATCAAATTTCCCTTCATGGTTCCTTGGGGGAAGGACAAATAGAGCTGAACACAGGAGTAACTCCAACAGTGATGCTTTCTGTTGCACAAAGAAACCAATATTTCATCAATTTGCTTCAAATCAGGCCTTCACATTACACAGCTTATATATGGCTTGGTTTTGAGAGAGGAATGATAACTAAGTAGTCCTTGAATTAAATCTGGCCTCTAAAATGTGCCCCATCATTTCAAAAATCTCTTGGAGAATAAAAATTGGTTGGCAAAGAAAGATAAGTGAATTTGTTATTGGATGATGGATTGTCTATGGCAGGGGTAGGCAACCTTGGCTCTTTTATGACTGGTGGACTTCAACTCCCAGAATTCCTGAGCCAGCCATGCTGAGGGGAAAGGGAGAGGTTTCCAAGCTGAGCCATGCTGGCTCAGGAATTCTGGGAGTTGAAGTCCACCAGTCATAAAAGAGCCAAGGTTGTCTACCCCTGATCTATGGAGATTCTTAGTCCTCCAGGTCATGGTTGTTCCAAAGGTGCTGTTTTTCAGAAGGCAACTGGACTTCCTTGTCTTTCTTTTGAAGATGTTTCGCTTCTCATCCAAGAAGCTTCTTCAGCTCCACTCCCTACTATCTAGTCATTGCTGAAGAAGCTTCTTGGATGAGAAGCAAAATATCTTCAAAAGAAAGGCAAGAAACTCCAGTTGCCTCCTGAAAAAACAGCTCCTTTGGGTATGATCGATTGGTTATATATTTATTTGTAAAATTTATTATCTGCCCATTGCCACATGGTGACTCTGGGCAGCTTAATAATTGCTGGTTAGTGTAAAATGTCAAAGTGAACTTCCAGGTTTAAAGAGTCCAATTGTGAGAACTGAGGCTCAAGAACTTTCAATAAAGAAGGGTGGGGAAGTTTCACATATTTTAAATAAGTTCTGCGCCCATTCTTTCTCCAAAGTCTTTCTCTGCTGATTTCTAAGGCAAATATACTCAGCCTCTTTAAGGGAAAATATTATATTTTCCATTGTTAGGCTAAAGTACGCAATCCAGTTGAATACACTTTACACTATCATTTATTTAGCCATTGGCCAGTTCAGGTTTGAAATCGCCCAAATAAAATTTGAAATCTATCTCTAGCCATTCAGAAATCCAGCAACAAAACAATTTGCCAGCTTTCGAAATAACACTAATTTGGGTGTGAAAAATAGAAACAAGGGGAGAAGTGAAATAACACAAGAATGTGGATGCCTATCAGCTATACTTAAAGAGAGAAATTCATCGAAACTTACCTATGAGCCTGAGATCCAGCAGATGTGATCCATTCAAGTTTAAGCCCTCTCTTTTCCCCTTTTATAGACCTGATGATGGATTTGTTTATCAAAATTATTCACCAGCTAATAATGTGTCAAATTACTTCCCAATAGCATTCAAATGTGGTTAGACTTTGCCACTTCTGATCGTTAGAATACTGTTCCAAACAACACAATAGTTCTCAGAAATGAAGGCAAATATATGTGTCCCAGGATAATGTTGCGGGATCCAATCTGGGTTGTCACTGGGACCAGATGTTTAGTCTTCTGAGCTTTTGGACTCATGCTGAAGCCTCTCACACATTCTGGTAAGAGAGAAGTTCCTTGAGGATGGGCTCCAGCACAAGTCCAAAAGCTTGAAAAACTAAACTTCTGATCATGGTGACCAACCGAGAACAATAGTTGCTGCTTTATAGAAGTATCCTTGGGTTGTGATGTGGAAAGTAGAGGGATGGGTGTTTGGGGAAAGCATCTCTGCATCCTTCTTCCGTAGCTCATATCCTAGCAGGCTGGCTGGGGAATTCTGGGAGTTGAAGTCCACAAGTCTTAAAGTTGCCAAGTTTGAAGACCCCTGTCCTAGACTTCCCAGCACAAACCAGGCCACAATATAAGCAGAATATTATTTCTTTGAGGGCTGCATGTCTCGTGAACCCAGCAATTTGATTTGGGCAATTTGAGTTCTATTAGATCTCTGAAGAAGGAAAAGTTCTGATGACTTCACCAGGAAGGACATCGTGACTTCATATGCTCTTTCCCACTTTCAGATGGCAATGGGGTCATCTTGAAGAAGGCAACGCCCATATCTTTGCAGATCTTCCTGCTCGTTGAGCTTCCTACGGCTGCTTTTGTCATGTCTATTGCTTCCATAACCATATATTTAAACTCCTGCAATGTAGAGGCATTAATTCATTTGGACAGTCCAATTTCTAAGTTCTTTCCCCCAACAGAACGTAGATAAAATTCATCCTTTGCCCCAGAAAGATTGTGAAGTCCTAGGGAAGTAATTTCACCCTGATAAGGATGACATAAAAGGCAGTTATAAATCAGATAAACTGCAACTGGGGCAGAAACCTGGCATTAATAAATTACTTCTATTGATTTATTTATAGTATTTTTGTTATTAGCTATAAGTAAGCTTGAGTTCCTTTTCCCCAAGCCATGTAATCACATCTTCAGCTATTCAGGATATGGGGGAAATATCCTGAAAAGCTGAACAAAAAGCTATTACAGGGAAAATGCTATTTTCTTTGTGCCTGTCCCATCCATCTGGGACTTCCCAGGGAATCTGGATAGCCATTGTTGAGAAACTAGTCTCGGATTACATCAGAGGTTGACTATCTCCATCTAAAAATCCAGATTGTCCCTTGTGATTTATTTTAGTCTCTGGACATGCCCAGGGAATAAGTTCTCTTTTCATCCAAAGGAACATGTTAAAAAAGAAGCAGTTTGGTTATGCGAAAACTATCTAGAGCAGTGTTTCTCACTCTTGGTAACTCTAACACAGGTGGACTTCAACTCCCAGAATTCCCCAGCCAACTGGGCAACCGGCATGTATTTTTGACAGTTGCAACATCCCATGGTAAAATAATCACCATTTGTCTTCCCAACTGACGTCTGACAAAGCAAAGTCAACAAAAACCATGGCTTTCTGGGGAATTCTGGGAGTTGAAGTCCACAAGTCTTAAAGTTGCCAAGGATGGACACCCGTTTTACAGGTTGGAACATTAAAGGAACTAGTCAATGCATCACAATCATCACCCAGAAACGGCTGAAGCCCCAGTCCAATTATATAAACCGAGTCTTTTAAATTAATGGTCTTAACAGAGTAGGCCATCTGGATGGCAATTTATCCAACTTTTTCCAAATAAGAGTAAACCAATCCCTCGTTTCTGGGAATCCTTCTTGAACTTTCAGTTGCGTGGGGCCATTTGTTTCTGCCCCACCTGTTAGTTGGTTAATTATTAAGTCGACTTCTTTGCACCAATATGGCCCTTGTTCAACTCTTGAATGTGCTGGCTCCTTCCAAGAAGAAGAAAAAAAATCAGACAATGGAATTTTCTTACAAGGATGTGACCAACCAGGGAGGAATTTATATTCTTTTCTGAAGCGGGATGAAGACATTTTTGACAGCAAACATGACAGGATCTTGGATTGTCTGGGGATGTGTGTGTTTGTGTATGTTGGTCAGAATGGGAACTGCAATGCATGAAAAAAGGAGTGGGGATTGGTTTGCATAATTGCAGCTAAGATATTGACCTTTTTTGCATACATCTGCAGACCTCTATACCCCACTCCGTAGCATCTGTAGCAGAATATCCAATTCAGCCATAGCTTCATTCCATACAGCATTAACCTTATAAACTCTCATGCTTCCTCCTTCCGTTATATATTCAAGTTGGACAGTATTTAATATTTATTTGCTATGTATATTTAGGGGAGTGGGTCTATACATATGTTGTACATAGTATGTTTAGGTGTTGTGTCATGTATGTTTCACTTTGAGAGCGGGCAACTAAATTTCATTTTAGATGTGTGCCGTTGTGCCCATATTAAAAAAAAATGACAATAAAGGTTATCTTATCTTATCTTATCTCACTCCAGAAATTATATTCGATTTCACTTCCAATTTGAAATATTAATGGTGTGCCCTTCTGTCATGCATTTGATGATTTCTCTCTTCTACCTTAATGAAAATTATTGTTTGGTAACAATTTTCTTTGAGGGCCATACTCACAAGCTCTTCGTGTGCATTTCTATAGGCAGATATGGTTCCCCCCCCTCCAATTCCAGGTCTTAACTCCAACGTATTCTTCCTGTGGCTTGTAAAGGAAATATTTTTCTTACTTTTATTAAAAGTGTTTCTCAAACCTCTGGACAAGTGCAGCTTTTATTCCTGGCTCATTTGTTGAAACTTAAGGAAGGAACCCTGCCAGCATTATACGCCAAGAGTGAATTCATCCAAAATCAGAATTACTAAATCTTATTCCTCCAAATAAGATGAGTGGCCTCATTTAACTATAATTCGAGACCTTTTTAATGGACCTCCTGAAAGAACGGCTGCAGGATTTGGGTTTGGCTAGTTTGAAGAAAAGAAGAAATAGGGGAGACTTGATAGTAGTGTTCCAGTATCTGAGGGGCTGCCACAAAGAAGAGGGGGTCAACTTATTTCCCAAAGCACTAGAAGGCAAGACAAGAAACAATAGTTGGAAATTGACCAAAGAGAGAAGCAATCTGGAATTAAGGAGAAACTTCCTAACAGTGAGGACCATTAACCAGTGGAACAACTGGCCTTCAGAAGTTGTGGGTGTTTCATCACCGGAGGTTTTTAAGAAGAGACTGGACAGCCTCTTGTCTGAAATGATATATATTCTCCTGCTTGAGCGGGGGGGGGGGGGGGGGTGGTGGTGGACTAGAAGACCTCCAAGGTCCCTTCCAGCTCTATTCTATTCTAATAGGTTCCTTTTCGTTAGAAGTAAAAAATCTTAAACCTCTTTGAAGATACAATCTTAACCTTTGAGTCTGGTGATCAGCGAGTGCCACCACCTTCTTGGGTTAATTCAATGTTTTGCACTGGAGAACAAACAGGAAATCTATTCTGCCATCTAGTGAATTTTTTTGTTAAGGTAGTTTAAGTGACCGTTTAAAAATACAACGGCACTAAAAAAATGTGACTTGTGGCCAGTTTTCACACTTAGGACCACTGCAGCTTACACACGATTCAAAATTTTGGCGCTTAGCAACTGGCCTATACATAATAATAATAATAATAATAATAATAATAATAATAAAATAATAAAGTTGGAAGGGACCTTGGAGGTCATCTAGTCCAACCCCCTGCCCAGGCAGGAAACCCTATACCATTTCGGACAAAGGGCTGTCCAGTCTCTTCTTAAAAACTTCCAGTGTTGGAGCATTCACCGCTTCTGGAGGCAGATTGTTCCACTGGTTAATTGTTCTAACTGTCAGGAAGTTTCTCCTTAGTTCTAGGTTGCTTCTCTCCTTGATTAGTTTCCATCCGTTGCTTCTTGTCTTGCCTTCAGGCGCTTTGGAGAATAGCTTGACTCCCTCTTCTTTGGGGCAGCCCCTGAGATACTGGAAGACTGCTATCATGTCCCCCCTGGTCCTTCTCTTCATTAAACTAGACATGCCCAGTTCCAGCAACCGTTCCTTATATGTTTTAGCCTCCAGTCCCCTCATCCAAGAAGCTTCTTCAGCTCTGACTGGATGGTGGTGGGGAATGGAAGGATTTATACTCCTTATAGACAGCTGATCATTTGCATTCTTTTAGATACTCCGGTGCCGTTAGCTGTGCACTTTGGGATGAACCCCCTTCAAATGGTGCGGGAGTATGAACGGATTTCCAGAAAACATTGCAGATCCATTTGCGCTTCAGTTTGAGATGCAGACAACGCAGACTCATCCCCAACAGCCTGCGCCGGTCTTCAATACCAAAGAGACCCAGGGCAGAAAACATCCTGTAGCCAAGATGGCTCCACGCCCATTTGCACCACTCAGGTGACTCTGAGGACATAGACAAGCCTCCAAGTGGCCTCAACGACTCTCTAAAAGGATGCAAATGACCAGCTGTCTGCAAGGAGTATAAATCCTTCCATTCCTCACCATCCAGTTAGAGCTGAAGAAGCTTCTTGAATGAAAAAAAAAAAAAAAAGAAAGTCCAGTTGCCTCCTGGAAAAGCACCTTTGGGACATGTTCAAGATTGCAAACATGTTTCCATCCGAATTGCCTTACCCTTCCATGCTTTGTAGGTACATTCAGCTCTCAATGAGAAATTCTGGTTACCTTTCCAGCCTCACCAACCCACCTTGGAAAAACTCCTGAACCCATTAAATAGTAGTAACTGTGAGAGGGACCTCGGAGTCCTAGTGGACAATCACCTAAATATGAGCCAGCAGTGTGCTGCAGTGCCAAAAAGGCCAACACAGTGCTAGGCTGCATTAACAGAGGGACAGAATCAAGATCACGTGAAGTGTTAATACCACTTTACAATGCCTTGGTAAGGCCACACTTGGAATACTGCATCCAGTTTTGGTCACCATGATGTAAAAAAGATGTTGAGACTCTAGAAAGAGTACAGAGAAGAGCAACAAAGATGATTAGGGGACTGGAGGCTAAAACATATAAGGAACGGTTGCTGGAATTGGGAATGTCTAGTTTAATGAAGAGAAGGAGGAGGGGGGACATGATAGCAGGGTTCCAGTATCTCAGGGGCTGCCCCAAAGAAGAGGGAGTCAAGCTATTTTCCAAAGCACCTGAAAGCAGGACAAGAAGCAACGGGTGGAAACTAATCAAGGAGAGAAGCAACCTAGAACTAAGGAGAAACTTCCTGACAGTGAGAACAATTAACCAGTGGAACAACCTGCCTCCAGAAGCGGTGAATGCTCCAACACTAGAAGTTTTTAAGATAAAACTGGACAGCCATTTGTCCGAAATGGTATAGGGTTTCCTGCCTGAGCAGGGGGTTGGACTAGATGACCTCCAAGGTCCCTTCCAACTTTATTATTATTATTATTATTATTATTATTATTATTAATTTGAAAATATGCATTTAAACTTAAGCAGTCATCAAAACAGGGTACATGTTGACTGCAAATGCGCACACTTTGTTAACCTCCACAGTTACTTTACGGCCATTTGCTTTTAAGCCATTCAGGCAAATAGCAATTGTGTAAATGTCTTCCTCAAAGGATGGCTTGTTTGATTAGTAAGTCCGGCATGGGTGGTTTTTATTACAGTTATACTGAAAGCAGATAAGGAGGTAAGGATAAAAAAAAACTGGCCTATAAATGTACCTATAAAATAATTGAATGACTCACTGAGACACCAAGCGATTTCAGCACTTTTAATTTCAAAAGATTGCTACGGTAGAAAAGATTCAGAGAACCAATCCATGATATGAAAAAAAAAAACAGTAAACTCCTCCCAATAATCAAATCTGCTATAGCTAAAAAAGTGCAAAGAATCTTCCCGGTTTATGTAGTGTCACTATTTGAAGATTTATCTCAATACGTTTGGGAGGAGGAGGGGGGGGTTCTCTTCATATGACAGGCAGAAAGCAATCTTGACTATGTTCTCCTGGCCAGTTTGACCACATGGGGAAAACCAGAAGCAGCAAGAGAGAAAACACGCACTTGTCCATCTCCAAGCAATTTGGGGTGGTGTTCTTGATCATCTTCCTTCACAGGTGAAGCCCAGTGAAGGATAACAAAAGGATCCCTGCACCTCTGTCTCCAAGCCATACGCTCTTTCCAAGACGCTCTGCGCATCTTCTGCAAAGCTATCCAGAGCAGTGTGCAACAAATAATAGGCAGCCACAAACGAGAGGGCCCCTGCTACCAAGTTGTTGAAAATGGGCACTTGGCTTTTCACCATTCTGGCCGTCACCTGCCCACAGGCTGCAGCTTGGCTCAAAACTGCCTGGATCGCATTCTCTGAAAAGTCTCTGGCGAATGTTGAACGCACTTGATTTTTCAATTCACAACAGGGTTTTGACACCGCGGTGGCCAAGGTCTCCAAAGAAGCACCATCCAAGCCAAAATGCTGCTGATATGTCTTGAGAGTCTTCATGAGCATGGGGACGTTGAGGTGGAAGGGATGGCCAGGGAGGGCTGAAATAACGCACGCCAGCAGCGCCTTCTTCCAGATGTGCCGGTGCAGCGAACTCTTCTTCTTCTGCACAGCTGCAGCGGTGACGGACGGAAAGGAAAGCAGCAGGGTGTGCCTCTTGTGACCCTCCAGCTCTTCAGCCAGAGTGTCCTGCAAGCGGTGGAAATCAAACCTGTGCAAATGGAAGCTGGAGATCAAGAAGACCTTGGGGTTCTCCAGGCCTTCCTTCTTGAGCTGGCGGGAACAGTCTGCCTCGATTTGCTGCAGCACTTGAACTTCCTGGAAAAAGCTTGGTCTTCGTTGTTGGGAAGCCCGCAGGTCCTGGTCTATCTTGGAACGGACAAAGTAGAAACGTTTGCCCATGCTTGCTACGGCCCGAGCCAGCTCAGCATGGCTCTCTCGGAAACGCTCAGATGCTAGAATGATGAAGAAATCGTATCTCTCAAACTTCACCCGCTGCAGATAATTTTTGGCTTGGAAGGAAGGGGTACCAATGCCTGGCAAGTCCCAAAGCTGAACACGGGGCAGATGAGGGTGATGATAAGGGGTGGGTGAAGCAGTTGTCTCAACCACACCAGTTTTGGCCGCACGGACGTCATCATCGCTGATCCCCAACAGGGCGTTGATGAAGGTGGACTTGCCAGCCCCACCTTCGCCCGTCACTGCAATGTCCAGTGTGGTGGTTTCTAGAGAATCCAGCAGTGACTGGACTTGAGAAGACACCTCCAGAACAACTTTTGATTGGATAACAGAGGCCATCTCTCTGAGGTCCGCCTCCTGGATGTCCATGGTGGAAGCTCAGCTGAAAGAACAGAAGAATAATAAACTTTATTGTCATTGTTATGTGTATACACAGTGTACACATACAACGAAATTTACTTGACGCTCAAAGACTAGGTACCACACACATAATCCCCAAACACACTCCCACCCACCACAATCCCCCACCCCTAAGACCACCCAAACATCCACACAACAGACCAAGTAATACTGTCCAACAGTTCAATTGATGGTGGCCCTTTAGTTCATTGTTGAGTGCAACTATAGCTCTGGGATAAAAACTATTCAGAAAACGTGTGGTCCGAGTTTTAATTATTCTATATCTTCTGCCAGAAGGCAACAGTCCAAAAAGAAGAAATCAAGTTTCTTTTTTAACGGTTTTTTTAAATAATAATAATAATAATAATAATAATAATAATAATAATAATAATAATAAAGTTGGAAGGGACCTTGGAGGTCATCTAGTCCAACTCCCTGCTCAGGCAGGAAACTCTATACCATTTCAGACAAATGGCTGTCCAGTCTCTTCTTAAAAACTTCCAGTGTTGGAGCATTCACAACTTCTGGAGGCAGGTTGTTCCACTGGTTAATTATTGATTTTTGAATTTTAGATTTAAGTATTTAAAAAGCAACGTGGAGGCTGAGTTAATTGATAACTCAATGACATACAAGTATCTTTTGGTACCAGTCTCAAACTACCACATTCAATATTTCCTCTCTTCTCCCCTTAGTATTTACTGTCTCATGTTTAAACTAATACAATTCTTATTATATCAATTAAATAAAAATAACATTCTTACATATATCAATAATTTTTGCCTTACACATATCCTGATTATTTTAACATTCAGTCTTTGTAGACAATCGATGTCCTAATTAGTTTTTCCCAATTTTTAGTTTCCCATTAATATTCAAATTTAACATTTAATATTTATAATTTCCAAGTTTTAAGTAACCAAAGATCTCTTTATCACCTTCAAGTTTCTTTCTTTACAAGCTATTTTTTTAAAAAAAAAAAAACCCTCTCTTTTCACAACACTGTAATCCCTTGACTGATTTACTGATCAGATGCCCTTCCTGACACCTACATGGTGTTGACAGCAGATTTCTTTTTTTCTTTGCACCCTAAGAGAGGAAAAACTGCCATTATCTAGGACTGAACTCTCAATCTTCAGAGTGGGATGATACCGTTTTTACCACTAGGCCACCACAATGCTCTTCTTTCTATATATGCAATATATTTTATTTTCCTGGGCTCCAAGATCACTGCACATGGGGACTGCAGCCAAGAAATTAAAAGACGCTTGCTCTTGGGGAGGAAAGCTATGGCAAGCTAGACAGCATACTAAAAAGCAGAGACATCACCCTGCCAACAAAAGTGCGTATAGTCCAGGCCATGGTTTTCCCAGTTGCAATGTATGGCTGTGAAAGTTGGACCATAAGAAAGGCTGAGCGCAAAAGAATTGAGGCCTTTGAACTATGGTGCTGGAGAAGACTCCTGCGAGTCCCTTGGACTGCAAGGCGATCCAACCGGTCAGTCCTAGAGGAGATCAACCCCAACTGCTCTTTACAAGGCCAGATCCTGAAGTTGAAACTCAAGTACTTTGGCCACCTAATGAGAAGGAAGGACTCACTGGAGAAGAGCCTAATGCTGGGGAAGATGGAGGGCAAGAGAAGAAGGGGATGACAGAGAAGGAGGTGGCTGGATGGAGTCACTGAAGCAGGAGGCGTGAGCTTAAATGGACTCCAGAAGATGGTAGAGGACAGGAAGGCCTGGAGGAACGTTGTCCATGGGTCGCGATGGGTCGGACACAACTTTGCAACTAACAACAACAAATATATTTGCAAAATGTGGATTGAGCAATAGCTCCCTCTGCAGGACAGCTTTAGTCATGCATTGCTGATTTGAAAGAGCAGTCGCTACAATCTAGAGCAGTGTTTCTCAACCTTGACAATTTTAAGGCATGTGGACTTCAACTCCCAGAATTCCACAGCCAGCAATGCTGGCTGTGGAATTCTGGGAGTTAAAGTCCACATGCCTTAAAATTGTCAAGGTTGAGAAACACTGATCTAGAGTTATTTTTACAAATTACTCAAGGTGGCAAACATATCCAACACACCTTCCTCCTCTAATTTTCCCCACAACACCAACCCTGCGAGGTGGGTTGGGCTGAGAGAGAGGGACTGGCCCAGAATCACCCAGCTGGCTTTCATTGCTAAAGTGAGACTAGAACTCACCATCTCCTGGTTTCTAACCTGGTGCCTTAACCACTAGACAGAATAGCCCACTAGATCTTATCTCCTTCAAGATAATCATAGGTGAGCACTCAATTAAAGCCCTCCAGGAGAGAATTTCCCATCTAGATCAGACTGGGATCAATTGCCCAAGCTGATGATCTGAATATTTTACCTTCACTTACTGTTCAAAGTTCTGATGGGCCTACTGATGGGCTGTCTGCCAAAACAAAGCAAGATTATTTATTTATTTATTTATTTATTTATGAGACTTACATACCGCTTTAGGTGCGAGCACTCTCTAAGCGGTGTACACCAGTAAGCAATGTATATATATATATTTACATTGCCCCCAACAATCTGGGTCCTCATTTTACCTACCCCGGAAGGATGGAAGGCTGAGTCAACCTTGAGCCGGTGAGATTTGAACCGCTGACCTGCTGAACACAGTCAGCTAAAGTGGCCTGCAGTACTGCACCCTAACTGCTGCGCCACCTCGGCTCTTTTTATGACATACATTTGAGAGGAGGCCGGGACGCCTATAATTATGGAATTTGTCTGGCAAGAACAAAGAATGTTTATTCACAGGGAATTGCTGGTAACAATTCTGGGTGGTTAAAAAGCTGATAAAAGTAACGAAGCGTTAGGCATCTTGTATAGCTCAGCCAGAAGCTAGGAACAGAAATGGCCTGGAGCAAATAGAATGTGTATTAGATCAGGGCTTTTCAACCGGTGGTACGCAGCATCGCCTCCCTCCCCCCCACGGCGTCGCCTTCCTTTCCCCCCCCCCCCGTGCTCCTTCTTAGCTCACTTGTTTGTGGAAAATATGCTGCTTGGCGGCAGCCTCCACAAACTCTACCGAATGTGCCCTGCAGGGGGCGTGTGAAGAGCGCAGGCGCAGAGCAAGGCCCCGCCCTCCCCAGGGACTCATTGTGCCGCAACCGAATTGACTTCTTCTCGTGCATGCAGGTCAGCGAAGGGGAGGCTGCCGCAGCGCCGAACTCCTGCGCCCGTCAGCTGGCGACCCCCCCAAACTTGCGCTTGTCAGCTGGGAGGTCTGGCGACGGCCGCCGGTCTCCTTTGCCACCCCGCACGTCGTCCTCGACCCCTCTCCCCACCCGTTCATGTCGAGCCCGCGGGGACTTGACAGGGAGAGAGGGAGGGAAGGAGGGACTCCCCCTCCTCTCCTAAGGTTCAAAGCATGATCAGCTTCCCAAGGGCGCCACAATCCTCACGAAAGCGGGGGGGGAGAAGGAAAGGGGGCGAGAGAGCTCGCGGCAGGCCCGAAGGAGCACCTGTCAGCGTCAGAGACGAGAAACTCCCCCACAAACCCAGGGGAAGGGGTGGAGAAAAGGAGCCCCCTTTGGGAGGAAACCGCCACCTTCTTCTTCTCGGCTTTGCGCTCTCCTGTTCCTCAGCAGCCGGGCTGCCGAGCCTCTGCTGGCTGGAACTCCACATTTGTCTTGTTTTTTACTTCTCGCCTTCACGTGTTTCTGCCGTACCTCCTCGGCGCTCCCGGGAATGGGGCGGGCGGAAGAAAGCTTGGCTAAGCTAGGCAAAGAAAAGCCATGGAGCCGCAAGCTCAGATCGCAGGCAGGCCGGGGAAGGGGGTGAAGAAGAGGAAGGGGATTGGGAGAGAGGAAACGCCAAGCTTGTCCTCGCCTCTCCCAGAAACCTCACCTCATTTCAGATCTACGCTGCAAAAGATTTTCTCGCGCAAAGGAGAGAGGAAAAACAATTGCAGAACACTCGGGAATCCCTTGCAAGGCACCATGTACCTTGGTGCTTATTTCCTAACACCTCTCCCCCCCCCCGTGTGTTCTGCTCCACCCCGAATTCACCTCCCTTCCACTCTCCTTACATATATGATCTTAATACAGCCCTAAGTCTGTCTCGCTTTCCACACCCAAAATTCTTCATTCAGAAGAATGAAGGGGCGCGAATCGGTGTGTGCTCAGAAATGCCGATTCTGTGCCCTTGCACTCTCGCTCACATAAGCAAGCGAGCTGGGCAAGAGCCCAGGATCTGGGCTTATCCACACTTCTGCAGAGCAGCCCAGAAGCACAGATCAGCTGTAGCTGCTCTGCTGGGCTCCTGCCCAGCAAACTTGCTCGAGCTTTGCTGGAAAACATGCCGCTTGCTAATTTAGCAGAAGCGCGAATCAGCTGTAGCCCAGCGCTGATCCTGGTACTTCTGCTAACTTAGCAAGCGGCATGTTTTCTGGCGAAGCTGAGCAAGTGAGCTGGGCGGAGCTCTCCTCTGCCTCTGCCTGTGCACAGGCAGGTTTGCCATGTCGCCATGGCCACCGGCAGCACAGCCACCAGCCACGCTGGCAGCCTGTCCCCCTCCCCTTGTCCCTTCCTGGGCACGGAGGGTGGGAGGAAGGAAGGGACAAAGAGGGAGGGAAGTAAGGAACAAAGAGAGGGAAGGAAGGAAGGAACAATGGAAGGGAGGGAGGGAAGGAAAGAAGGGACAAAAAGGGAAGGAAGGAAGGAAGGAAGGAAGGAAGGAAGGAAGGAAGGAAGGAAGGAAGGAAGGAAGGAAGGAAGGAAGGAAGGAACAAGGGGAGAGAGGGAGGGAAGGAGGGAGAAAGAGTGAGGTGGAAAGAAGGAAGGCAATGGGAAAGGGGGAGGGAAGGAGGAAGAGACCAAGAGGGAGGTGAAGGAAAGGAAGGAAAGAAGGAAGGGACAAGGGGAGAGAAGGGAGGGAAGGAAGGCAGGCACCCACCCCCGTCCCATCCCAGAGATCCACGGATTCCCCTCCCCCACAGGCACCCTGCAACCTGAGTGATCAGCTGGCCACGCCCCCGGCCATTGATCACATGACCCTGGGACACTGTGAACGTCATAAGTATGAATCAGTTGCCAAGCATCCGAATGTAAATCACATGACCCTGGGGATGCTGCAACAATCGTAAGTGTGAAAAATGATCATAATTCGCTTTTTTCAGTGCTGTTGTAACTTCAAACAGTCACTAAGCGAATTGTTGTAAGTCGAGGACTACCTGTACTTTCTCATTTTTTTCCTTTTTTGGGGGGGGGGTCAGGTTTTTGATACCTTGCTGGGCGAGTGGTGGTGCTCGGATATGGCCTTATCCGAAAAGTGGTGTAATGGGTGAAAAGGTTGAAAAGCACTGTATTAGATAACTCCTGAAACATTTATTAGCCAAGGCTTAGGAATAGGAACGGCTAGAGACCAACAGAATAATTGTTAGATCATTACTAAAATGTTTCATTTGAAGACATTTTTTAAATATCCCACCTTATCCCGCCTTCTGCTTTAGTAAAAATGTATAAACCTTCTGTGGTTTGAGGTTCCTTGACATTTTGGCTTCAATAAAAGGAAACAAAATCTGCACCTCATGTCTGCGGTCCTTCATGGGCCTCAGCACCAGGCTCAGATCCAAATTGGGGATGTGGGAAAAAGAGCTTATTGTTTTTACGGAACTGTGAGAAGACAGGCTAGCCCAGGGGTAGGCAACCTTGGTTCTTTTATGACTTGTGGACTTCAACTCCCAGAATTCCTGAGCCAGCCGTGCTGAGGGGAAAGGGAGAGGTTTCCATACTGAGCCATGCTGGCTCAGGAATTCCGGGAGTTGAAGTCCACAAGTCATAAAAGAGCCAAGGTTGCCCACCCCTGGGCTAGCCTGTGAAACAAATATATTGCATATATTTTAATCTCATGAGCCTAGCTTGAAGTTTGGGAATTGTATCTAGGAAGGTCTCTGCTACGCTGAAAACCGGTCCTAACCAGAATCTACTGATACGATAGCAACTTTAGAGACAACCCCTAGGAACTAACAACTATAAAAGGTAATTTGTAAATAAGGGCAGGGGGAGATCCAATTAGGGTAGTTGGAGATGTAATCAGGGGCGGAGATAATGTATTCACTTTACAAGCTTTGGATAGGTTGTGATGACATGATTACAGCATGATTACTAAGCCAATGAAGAAGAGGTGGGAGGTAAATGTGTAAGGGCAATGGAGAATATAAAGAACAAACATTGAAGATTTGGGGTGTGCCTACTGTGTGCTTGCATGCACAAGGAGCACCTCCTTTGCAAAGGAGTACAAATCAATTACTGTATCATTATTTTCTCTTGGAAGTTTTGGCTTGTGATTGTTTATTTCAACTAGACCAGAGGTCCCCAACCTTTTGGGCACCAGGGACCGCTTCAGCCATGTGCAACTTCCTGTGGTCAACTGATCATGTTCAATGATGGTTTTGCTGAATAATGATGGTTTTGCTGAAAACTGCCATTTCTGATTCTTTGGCAAAACTGCATCCATAGCAAACCAGGGGTTTGTTTAACCAGCATGGCTGGTGATTAGCAACAGCCATGTGTGCTAAACAACCATCACAAAAAAAGATCACAAAATCAGGTCATGAGGTGATTCGGCGGGAGCTTTAGCCCCGCCCATTATGGTTGCAAGTTGTGACGGCCATTAAGTGAATCACTTGATCGCCTCATTTAACTTTTTAAGGTAAGATCATCTTTATTGTCATTTTTTTACTGTGAGGACACTGGCACACGTTAAAAATGAAATTCTGCTGCCTGCTCTCAAAAGAAAGTATATAGCTTACTTATACCCATACATAACACACATATACATATGCAGTATACATACCATACATATATATACATATTAATCACTGTGCATTTTGAATACATAGCAAAAAGATGAAGATTGAGAGTTCACAAAGTTGATGCTATATATCAGAGGTCCCCAACCTTTTGGGCACCAGGGACCGGTTCCATGGAGAGAGGTTTTTCCAGGGACCGGAGGGTGCGTGGTTTCGCGCGCTGTCTGCATCCCGTGGATGGGGCTTTGTTTGTTTGTGCGGTCTGGTTGCCGGCATGCCGCAGCCTGGTGTGCTATATATGGAACAAAACTGTAACTGAATCTGGATGTTCTGCTTCGGATACCACAAAACTTTTCCTAAAAGCAACCTCATACTTGATCCTCATGTCCACACAAAGACTGCAGCTTGTGCCAAAGTGCACTTCTTTTAATCAAACAAACTTTGTTTTTCCTCCAGGACTGCAAATTTCTGCCCACTTTCTCTCCAAGCGACTGTTGCTTTTGTTCCGTTTTCCACCAGCTCTTAAATGCACTGACATTTTCCTCCTACGGTTACTCAGTTTAGTCTCCACGGTCCCTGTTCACTGGGCACACCCATGCCCCCTCCCCCCAAAAACACAAAAACAAGAGAAGGATGTGGTTGTGCTACTTTGGAGCACCAGCCCACAAAGAAGCCAATCCGGGCAAAAGAACATTGCAAACCATTTAAAAACCTTCTCTGCACTCCCCCACTGCAGCCTACTCTGTCCTCCAGAAAACCACATTACACTCGTTTGTCTGTCTCTCTCTCTCTCTCTCTCTCACATGCACACACACACACACACACACACACACACACACTCTCGACTACAGATTATTCTCGAACTACCATAACGGAGCCCAAAATTTTCCCTTGCTAAGCGAGGCAGCGGTGAAGCGAGAGCCACGCGCCGCTTTGCAATCTTTTTGCCAGGGTTTTGAAGCGAATCGCTCAAGTTGTTAAGTGCATCACGCGGTCGGTAAGCGAATCCGGCTTCTCCCCCCGTTAACTCTGCTTGTCCGAAACTCTCCAAGGTGGTTGCAAACGACAATCCGAGGACTCCAGGATACCGGAAACCCTGTCTTGTCAATGCAGGTCGGTTGCCAAGCACCCAAAGTTTGATCACGTGGCTGTGGGGAATGGGGTCATAACCGTGAAAAACCGGCCGTAAGTCATTTTTTTCTTTCCCCCAGTGGCTTTATAACTCTGAACGGTCATATGTAGAGGACTACCGGTGGCTGGCTTGCGCCGACTTACCGCACCAGCAGGGAAGAATCCGAGCCCCCGAATCCCCCCCGCAAAGAATCCTCGCAACCGCCTTTTGGTCTTGCACTGAGATGCGCGCGATCCTTCGGAGCTCGGGTCCCCGGGATCCGAAAGCTCCACGCTTCTTCTCCTGGATCGAACAGGATCTCCCGCCGCCAGACGGACGCCCTTCGAACCCAGGGACTCCCCGCGAAAGGCCGCTCCAGATGGGCGGCCTTTCGCTCGGATGGAGGGGGAAAGAAACAGAAACTGGCCCCCGAGCAAGGCGGAGCTGCGGGCGAGGAGGCGGAAAGGGGGCGGTCGCTGCCGAGCTTTTCCAAGGAGCAACGTTGGACGGCATCCTAAACGGAATCCAAGTTGGGGTAAATCCGGAGTGGCTCCGTTTCTTCGTCCGTGAGAGGGAGGGGGAAAAAAAAGGGGGGGGTCTGCAGACCAGTTCGGAACACCGTGCAATAGGAGCTTTATTCGATTCAGGTCGATCTTCCCATTGCAAAGGCGATGCGTTCCAAAGGATCCACGCAACCATTGCAAAAAAAAAAAAAAAAGGTGGCTTGCAAAAAAAAAAAAAAAAACCTGCTTATTTTAACATCATCCCAGTCTGTAATTTTTACGTGCATTTGTTGCGTAAAAATAATCTGTACTCGTGTGTGTTTGTGTGTATGTGTGTGTGACAAACGAGTGTAATGTGCTTTTCTGGAGGAGGCTGCCCCCCCACAGACAGACAGACAGACACACACACACACACACACACAGAGATACGTGTCTTTTTCCCCTACAAGAGCCTTGTGGGGCAAGCTGGGTTGAGAAACGGGGATTCATTTGGAGAAGGTCTGCGAGGTTTCCTTGAAATGTGGGGTTCCTTGCAGTGTTTCTCAACCTTGACAATTTTAAGGCATGTGGACTTCAACTCCCAGAATTCCACAGCCAGCATTGCTGGCTGTGGAATTCTGGGAGTTGAAGTCCACATGCCTTAAAATTGTCAAGGTTGAGAAACACTGCTTTAGTGTGACGACCCCTCCCCAACACCTGCACCCCAGTGAATGTGGTGTCTTCCAGGAGGAGCAGCTTAAATTGAGAAGGGGAAACGCGCCTCCCCCAACTGATTTTTTTTTTTTTTTTTTTACAATTTTTGGAAACCTTGCAGAGATTTTTAAAGCTTCTTCTTTCCTTGCTCCTTACACGCAGGATCCAGCGCTCTCATTGCATCTTTAGACACGGGAGCTGATTGTTAACCGCGTATACACGTGATGCTGAAGCCGACAGTATTTTTTTTTTTTTTTTAACCCATGCTCGGGTGAATCTCCGGGATCGCAGGGTAACCAAGCCGCCCCCCCCCCGGGGCGCCCCCTGGGAATGCGGCTGTGGAGTTTGCACGCGAAAAAGTGCGGTTGGACCCTCCCACCCTTTCCTGTTCCTCCCTACCCCGCAACTTGGCTGGCCTCCAGACGGGAGGCGGCGGCGACGACCAGGAGGGCACAACCTCAACCTGTAGCTATTACAGCCCATTGAGCTTGGAGGGCGCCAGCTTGAAGAAGGTCGGTTCAGACTTGCTCCCGAAGAGCCCGCCCCTTTTTGTCTCTATGGTTACCAGGCTTGCGCTACAGCACTCACGCAAGAACGAAGGGGAGGGGCGAGCAGCCTCTCCTAACGCTGCGTGGATGAAGCGTACAAGTTCATTGGGAGGCGGGGGTGCAGTCTCGCGCTCTTATTGGCTGGCCCGCGGGGAGCGACAGATCAAAAGGCTGCGGCTTTAACGGCTGTTCGCGGCGATGGATTCTAGCCGCTGTTTTTTATTATTAAAAACTTGAACGAGCATCTAGCCGCGTGCGATGCACATTGATATATAGTTATTACGAATTAAGCGTGCAACGGGGTGTATCTCTAGTTATGCCAGACTGGTTGTCCATATATAGTCACCAGGAATCAAAATCGACTATAACGGGTAGGCAACCTTGGCTCTTTTATGACTCGTGGACTTCAACTCCCAGAATTCCTGAATCAGCATGGCTCAGCTTGGAAACCTCTCCAAAATTCTGGGAGTTGAAGTCCACCAGTCATATAAGAGCCGAGGTTGCCTATCCCACATTAAAAGCTGAGAGCCACGCAGGATGGACTTTGTAATACTTGCAATATGGGATTTAAAGCACTATCCAAGAGTTGCAATACTGAGCATATATTTTAGTAAGTTGTACTGATTTTGCCATTAAAAAAAACCCTTTTCAGGCTAAAGAACTGATCCCAATTACAATCAGTGAATTATTTAAGCTTCAGAACTTTGCCTATGATAAATATACATCAATATGATAAATCTTCAAGACAGTTAAACCTACAATACAATGGAAACTAATTGAATAAGAAAAATACAGATGGTGAGAGTCAGGAAGTAAGATAAACCATATAGGCAAAAATAGTTGGGTCTGAGAAAGGAAGAAGAGAAGCTATAAAAATATATAGGAAATGGCTAGCCAGGAAGGTTGAATGGAGAATAGGAAAATAAGCTGAATAAGATAAGAGGAAAGGTACACTGAATTGAAAAGCAGGAAAAGAACTTATTGTTTAAAATGGGGACATAAATATATACTGAGTTTAAAATAACCATTTACATGTCTATGTGAATATGATTTAGTATGTTATCAGGAAATATGTATAGGCGGACGGAAAGAGTGTAACCTCATACTACCTCAGCCAATGGGGAAAGAGGAGGGTTGTAGCGGCCGGTGATAGGGATAAAAGAAGGAGATATTTTGGGTTAAAACTTTGGAGAGAACCAAGCTTTGATAGCTTCTCTCCCCGCTTATTGCAATAAACGAAACAAAAGGCCTTCACTGTGTCTTGGCTGGTTATTGGTCAAGCGAGCTTGCCTCTGGTCATGAAGGAAAGTACCCAGGAGCACATAACAGCCTATAAGACTTAGTGAATGTGGTTGTTTTTTTTTCATCCTGCCTGACATTAAACTCCTTCCTCCTATTTTGCCCAAAACAACCCTGTGAGGTGGGTTGGGCTGCAAGAGAGGGACTGGCCCAAAGTCACCCAGCTGGCTTTCATTGGTAAAGTGAGACTAGAACTCACCATCTCCTGGTTTCTAGCCTGGTGTCTTAATAAAATGAAGACCTTTAAAATAAGCAAGGAAAGCTGAAATGCAGACTTAACCTCCCTTTCTTGGGAGTAAACCTTCATAAATTCAGTGCGGACTATTTAGAAGGAGCGAGAAGGCAAATTCAATTTTAAGAAGTGAATGCAAGATAATCCTGATTTAACTACTGCCCTGTTTACAGATTGTTCAGTTACTAAAAAGCACTGAAAAAGTAACTGTCAGAATCCAATTATATTTCATCTCTAGTTATCACTTATAGAAAAACCCCATTTCTGCCTTCTTGGAAGGACAAGGAAGAGAAGGGGGTGAACAAAGGGACTTTATGGCCCTCATTTCCTTCGGTACAACTTCAAAGGAATTGAATGGGGATAGCACCAAAAGGACTAATCATAACAAAGGAGGCTATTTACCTTTTATGTAGTTTTCTCTGAAGTCTCCATCCAGCCGGCAGAAAGGAAAAGGGATGGGAATGTAACGCCTGAGACTGTTACTGGAAGTAGGGGAGATTGGGTGGGGCTACTGGGAAACCCCTTAAAACCTTGAATGGGAGAGCTTGGACCCCAAGTCCTGTCTAGAACGCCTGCAACCATTTTCTCTTAATAAAGGATTCCTGTTGGAAGAATTATTTCAAGAGTTCTGTCTTCTTAAGATGCAAAGTGGGGTGGGTCCTTACACTGTTCCTATCACTTGCAACTGTCATGATGGTATAGGGCAGGGGTAGGCAACCTTGGCTCTTTTATGACTGGTGGACTTTTAACTCCCAGAATTCCTGAGCCAGCCATGCTGAGAGAAAAGGGAGAGGTTTCCAAGCTGAGCCATATTGGCTCAGGAATTCTGGGAGTTGAAGTCCACGAATCATAAAAGAGCCACGGTTGCCTACTTCTGGTATAGGGTCTCCCTGCTTGAGCAGGGGGTTGGACTAGAAGACCTCCAAGATCCCTTCCAGCTCTGTTTTGATGGATTTGAGCCCTTCACAGCTTGCTTCTGACAAGCGGAATCAATGAAAAAGCTGGCAGTAAAATCACATCATGTGTCAAGCATGACAAATTGGGAGTCAAGCAGGCAAATCAGTTATATAGGTTTATTGTAAACTTAACTTCTCTATAAGAATCTGATCTACTAACAGTCAAAGCAAATTGGTTGATAAAGAGTCGATGGAACTCAAGTGGGCTGGAGTTAGATCTCTGGTGGATGTGAAGGGACTCAAGATTGATGACACGTTTGACTCCTCGGACTCAGCCTGGCCATCTCCTACATCAGGGGTCCTCAACCTTGGCAAAGGTGGCTGAGGGATTCTGGGGGTTGAAGTCCACAAGTCTTAAAGTTCCCAAGGTTGAGGACCCCCGTCCTACATCATGGTCACACCATGTCTCAATCTTAATCACAACGGAAGTGAGGACTTAATTCTACCAGGCTGGTGTGATCTCTTACTTAGCAACTGTGCCACTTAAGGGATGGAGTCGCCAGTCCCATTTGTGGTCATTAAAGTGAGGACTACATGAATTCTTACTTGCTCTGTCTTCCCCCTCCCCTGGACCCAATGACGACAACTCTGATATTCGAGAAAGCTTTTTGCCGCGGTTGAAAGAACAAGAGACGAGAGACGGCATCTCTCCAGAGAGTTATAAAGTTTTTCCAGCCGAGATCGGCTTCCATAGCCCGGAAAGGTCGAGCGGGGTTAACTGAGGACGCTGCTCTTCACCAGGCATTTTCCAAACGGGCAGCATCTTTGGGATGTTCTGTGCAATGGGGGAGGGGGGCTTTCTGTGTTTAAATCTGTGAGCAAAATTTGTGTAAAAATCTTCATCCAGCAGGTCCAAAATGTTGCTTGTTGAAAAAGGGAACCTTGCAGGAAGCCAGTTTCAGAGCCTTCGCATGCCAAATTGGGGCCGCGGATAACCGGCTTTTCCAAAGAACAGCTGCCAATTTTGGCTGCTCCCTTTTTTTTTTTAGCAGTATGAACCATGCAGATTGGCCCTTAGATGTTTCCATCCTTGGAACAAAAGACAGTACTGTGGAAGAATCGATTTAGTAGAGGTAAACACAAGGTCAAGGAGTCCCTGTGGATTTTACTCCACTGGTCATGGCTGACTTTCCAGGATGGCGCTCATCTCCGTTTCAAGGTCATTGAGCCAGCGCTGTGCATGGCCAT